CATCATTATCAATGGCTGGCAGAGTGGTGTTGGCAATGATGTGCTTGCTAGAGACAGCCAAGGCAGAGTTGGGGGGCTTTTTTGTAGGTGGTGCGCAAACCAGGCTTAAGGTCACGTAGTTAGAGCTAGAGTGGGTAGCCATTGCTCATACCTTGACAGGACAGAACGGTGGAGACTTGGCAGACAGAAGATGGACCCACAATAGCAGTGCAGCGGCAGTACAGGAGATGGACTCTCAGTAGCAGTGCAGCGGCAGTACAGGAGATGGACCCTGATGGGGGGTGCAAGACAAAGAAGGTGAGCGGAAGGGAGCAGGGCAGCGGGCGGTGTGCACACAGCGCACCAGCCCGCTGCCGGCCCCCTGGAGCGGGTGGAGAGCGGGTGCGCTGACTCCCTCCGCTACCCGCTCTCTCTACAGCGCTTGCGCCATACACGTAAACGCTGGAGCAGTCCACTGAGAGAGCGGGGGGGGGAGCAGAGCAGAGAAGGAGGATGCGGTGACACTGACACACACTGACACTGGCCGTCCGTGCTATAATGGACCGTAATAACTGCTGCTATGCCAATAGTTCCGCCATTGGCCAGCGCAACCTCCTCATTACCCCCAGATTTTCACTTTTACCCCATTTGGGGTAATTTACCCCTGTTCCCCGACCACTGGGTTATGGTAACATTTTCAGCCATGGGAGTTGGGTTTCCTGACAAAGTTTGGATAGCTGTGTTTTTAAAGTTTGGTTCATGCATTCCATTTTCGCTGAGGCCTGGGGCCTGTATACTAGAGTGGAGATGCCAAGGAATGCCCAGGATGTTACTAACATCCTGAGTAACTTGTGAGATAAAATGCCTTCCATTGTCAGACTCGAGACTTTTGGGGACCCTGAATCTCAGAATGATTGGTTCAACTAAGGCATTTACCACCTTTCACTTTTTGGATTGGGATAGCTTCTGGCTACCTGGTGAATAAATCTACAAACACAAGTAGGTTGGGTATAAACGAGAAGTCCGGTTTTCAGAAAAAGTTCTATCTGGGCCTTGATGCCAACCCAGGCTTCCCACTTGACAATTGCTATAGGCTGGGTGTCTGGGAGGAACTGAGCATGTGGGAAGTGGCAAATTGTGCAAACCCAGATGTTCCTTGGTACCACACCTGGAGGTTTATCTTCTGAGTTAGGCTATCTGGTAATTGGTCCCTTCGCCCCAAAACAAAGATAGGCTCTTTCTGGGGGTATTTTAAGGGAGATGCCCTTCTGTATGACGGCTCCCAGTTCCCTAAAACAGGACTGTCAAATTCAAAGCCCATGGGGCCAGCCTGGAAATAGCAAAAGACTAGCCCACTGTGCCTCTGCTAGCAAAAACGGGGCATGGGGAAGGTGCTGCAGGAGGCTGGCTGGCCCATCTACACACACACACACACACTGGCCATCCTGCAGAGGACAACTACATGCTGATCCGGTTCTCCAAGGAATCCAGTTTTGACACCCCCGAACTCAGACTAATTTGTAATAACTATATAACTATATCCCTTCAACATAAGGGACAAATAAGCTGAGCCCTTCTGCTTAAACCTACAGTTTGAGACCAATAGCTATTATACACTTGGGAGATGCACTTACTATATTGCAAGTAAATTATTAAAAGAAATGCAGCAAAGAAACATTTGTACAAGTGCAGAAAAAAAGCCTTGTTCTTCATGGAAACATTTGTTTGGCTGGAATGGATAAAAAAGCATGGCATATCATGAAGATTTGTGACAAAAAGGTCAGTTAGTTGCTGCTCATTGCCCTTTCCACACTCCAGTTTTCCAAGTTTATTGTTTTATGTAGGAAGCATGTTTTTTTACAACCTTAGGATTATTTTTAAAAAATAGCCAAATACATATTGCTACATTATCATAAGACAGTACCGGTGATGTGTATTTCTACTGCCCTCAACTGGTACTTTAGAGGAATTTTTATTGCTTTCAGTTCATTTCCTCAAAATACAGAACAGCGTTAGCTGTCTGGCTGACTACTGTGAGATACAAAATGATCTAACAGGATTCTTATGATTTTCTATGCTATTAAAAAGACTTGGATCTTTTTTTACAACAACTTTTGTTTTTTTAAAAAATAAATTTTATTAAGTTTTCAAATTTTAAAAACATAACACTTTATACATTATCAACATCAAGACATATTTTACATCTCCTTACATTTTTCAATATATGTAGTTACTTATTCCATTACCATTACATCTTACTCTTGCTATAAATCAGTATCTTTTATCCTTACACATCAATCTTCTCTATGACATATTTACATATTCCCTCGTTCTTTTCCTAATTGCCATTTTATTTTTATTTCTAAACCACTCATACCAGACATCCTTTTGGCCCTTCATATGCTTACTTCCAGGAGTTGGGCAGCATATCAAATCAATTAATTATGGTTATCTTTTCTATGTTAACTATGAGAGCCAGGTTGGTGTAGTGCAGGGGTTCCCAACCTGGGGTGCTTGCACCCCCTGGGGGTGCAAGACAATATTCCAGGGGGTGCGAGAAAAGTCCAGGTAAATAATAGGATATTGGCTATATCTTGGCATTTTTATTTTCAGGGGGTGCAAGGTTCGAGTGAAATTTCTTTAGGGGTGCGGGGCGAAAAAAAGGTTGGGAACCACTGGTGTAGTGGTTAAGGCATCAGACTGGAAACCAGGAGACTGTGAGCTCTAGTCCTGCCTTAGCTAAGCCTAGGAAAGAGGCAATGGAAAACTACTTCTGAAAAGCATCGCCAAGAAAATTGCAGGGATGTGTCCAGGCAGTCCCAGAGAACCGGACACAAGCGAATGAGAAAAAAAAGTTAATTACATGGATACCTAAACTAGCAAGCTTAGATATGAATTCTTTGACATATTCAATAAGGTTCACATTTCAAATTCATCCACCAGCTGCTTCATCTCCGAAGTTTGTCTGGGACAGCTTACAGAAACATGCCACTCAGAAGCAATCCCATCAAAATCCTAAATCACCCCGTGATACCAGAATCAACCTGGATATGAATAGAGTTACCAGCAAGACTGGTAGAAAGTTCAAGTGCCCATTGGAATAGGGATAGATCTATAAAAAAGCAGGAGTGGGTCATATACACATACTTATACACGGGTTAGGGTCTCCGTGTGTGTTTGTGTAGGCATATACAGGTACTACCGTACTTGAATTACACAATTCATTTAGTGACAATTCAAAGTTATAAAGGCACTGAAAAAATGACTGATGATCATTTTTTACACTTACGACTGTTGTAGCATTCCCGCGATTACTTGATCAAAATTCAAACTGGCAATTGACTCCTGTTTATGATGTTTTACCAGGAGTGTACCCTGTGATCACCTTTTGATCTAGTAAGTAAAGTCAATGGGAAAGCCAGATTCACTTAAAAACCGGGATATTAACATAACAACTGCAGTCATTCACTTAACAACTGTGCCACTAAAAGGAGTAAAATAGGGCAAAACTCACTTAACAATGTTTAGCACAGAAATGTTGGCCTCAATTGTCAAGGATTAGTCAAGGATTACCAGTACATGCATATGTGTATAGATACAATATGTATATATAAAACGGCCAACCAATATATTAAATGCACATTTATTAATGGTGAAAATTCCAGAATTTGTTTCAGCTACAATTGGCCTTCTTAGGATGGGAAGATGTGCTGTTAATTATGCAGAATATTTGTTTATAACTATTTTTTCTGGTTATTCTTCTTTCTGGGAATGCTGTCTTAAACCAAAATTGTCTACCCAAAAGGTTGTACATGAAATGATTTCAATTTTCTTTCAGCTGAAGCTTTAAAAAGAAAAACTGCAGTAGATCTTGCTATTTTTCAGCCATGATTTAGACTTTTCTTTTTCCCTTCTTCTGGATACTTTTACAACAATGTTTTTTCTTAAGCGTGATCCACTTCTGTACCTACTTCATGCAGTATGTTATTTTTTTCATCAAGACTTACTATATAAAATGATAATATGGAAGCATTTCTGGAACTTAAGCCAAAGTGTATTAATCTTAAATAGTCTCATATCAACATAGTTTATAAGATAACATTATTTAGTACAAAGACACTTGAAACTGTTTTTTCCCTCATAATCAATACATATTCTAAAGTATAGAAAGCTTTATTAAGAAAATTATTTCTGCCACTTTTATTATAAGGCTAGGCATCTTATTAAATAAAACCAGGAATTTCACAATGGGAGATCATCAACACAAAAGTAACATTTTAAAGCCACTTTTACATCACCGGGTACTTGGTAGACAACTGTTTATTGTGGAAGATACAAGACTGATTGTAATCTAATCTGTTTAGACCAGCTTGTTTTTGGTCTATCCTTTCTGCAATAGCCAGAAGGCTGAAACAACAGCTGTTATAAGCAGTGCCTCTGTTGTGACTTGTTCATCTTGTGCTTTTAATTCCCTTATTGTATATTGTTTCCCCTACTCATTTATTGCATCTCTTTTAATTCCTCATTCCTTCCAAAGGTTGTTTTTCCACAACCCCCTTCTGAATCTTCCTGCATCCACAAACCCATTCCTTCCATCTTTCATTTCCTAAAAAAATACCGTTTCCCTCTTCTTCCTTTATCTCCCTTTTCATGCTGTAAACATCATGATATAGAGCTTGCTATGTCTTCCCATCATTTTTTTTCCCTAGAGAAGAAATTACAAGATATACAATCACAACTAAGCCCAACATTTCTAAGCAAGAAATTTCTAAGTGAATTTTGCCAGGGCATGCCACTTGCCAAGTGTCTGAATTCTGATCACATAACCATGAGGGATGCAGCATGGTGTGGAAAAGATGGCCACAAGTTACCTCATATCAACCCTGAGCTACAACGATTCTCCTTTATTAGAAATGTAAAGAATATAAAATATATATCCTCTTTCTTCTTATAACCACCTTCATTCCTTCTCCAACCACATAAGATCACTTACCTCCGTTCCCCTCCGAAAACACCACCAGGCGGCCTACAACGAACGGCAAACCTCCCGCCAAAGGCTCGCGCGGGTTCCTGGAACTTGTAGTTCTTTCCCTCCCGACTCTCCTCCCGATGACGCGAATTGGACGATCAGAGGCCTGCCCGGAAGTGTTGCTATGGCGGCGGTGCCCCCCTTCAGTGGCCTGGTCTCCGAGTTGGAAACCTACCGGGGCAGAGACCGAGTGGTGAGAGGAGGATGGAAGAGCGAAGGGTGGCTTTTTCGCGGGGCTAAGAGGACCGAATGCGGGCGGTTACAGGGTGCCTTCTGTTCAATGGGATTCCCCTCGGGTCGCCCAGGGGATTTAAAAAGCAGAGCAAGCAGGAGCCGGGATGTCCAACTTCGGCGGTGGATCCTGAGAGCTATAGTTCCCCCCCCCCCCCCCCCCCCCCCCCACACGTATTGCCCGTTGTGAGTTTGGGAACTTTCCCTTGGACGTCTGCTCTCCTTTTGCTTTCCACAGCTAGGGCATCCTCTAGCTCAGGGGTGTCCAACCTTGGCAACTTTAAGACTTGTGCAGGTGTTTCCAACCATGGCAATTTTAAGCCTGGAGGACTTCAATTCACAGAATTCCCCAGCCAGCCACGGTTGGAAACCCCTGGTCTTGTGGACTTCAACTCCCAAGAATATCTCAGCCAGCAAGGCAAAGCTGAGGAATTAAGGTTTGTGGTCCCAATAAAGGAGGATATTTTTAGCTCAGAGTTGAAATGAAGGGTCCTTGGTGTCCTCTGAGCTTGCCTGTTTTTTTTTTGCAGTTTCATTATTCATACTAGGTAACATTAATCAGTGCTGATGTTACCTAGTTTGAGTAACAAAATGTCTGCAAGCAAACCAAGGTTTATGGTTTCCTGGACCTGAGAGGTACCATATAGAGAAAGGCTGAATTGTGACTCCAGGATCTTGAAGAACTGGGAACTCTATGTGTTGTTTTATAATTTGGATTGCTCCCAGAGGGAGGGAGAAAGAAAGATCTCAAAGGAAGAAGGGATGAAAGCACATTTTGAGATCATAGTGTTTGCTGCATTGTATGCTTATCTCTTTGTTTAACATTGGATCTGTAAACTATAAATATGTTTCTCATGATGTATTTAAAATTCATATATGTACACACAAAATGTAGTGCACAAAACAAGTAGAAAGCATGAAATGTGATAATAAAAGGTGCTAACAATTACATTTCTAGCAATTTTATTTTATTTTTATATGCTGCTTTGTCTTCCACTTCTAATTTATGCACCCTATAGGTACTTAACAGATCCCTGGCCACTACAGTTGGGATGAGGCAACCCATATGAGCCTTTGGATTATCATTTCAGAAATATTTCCTTACCAGATTCCTCAGTGCCTTCAACAATGTCTGAATGTACTTGAAAAGTTCTTAAAAATTCAGGGAGATATTCAAAGAAGCCTATGTTGAACATAGCACAAAAGTCAGCATAGGAAATGTTTTGTGATATTTTGTATTATAGACTGTGTCACAATCATTTTTATAAAATATTATATGCCATTTGACAAATTTTAATTTCTCAAGAGTCCTAAGTCCCAGATTGTGGACACTTTGTGTAAATTAGCCCATTAAAGGTAACTTGGTTCAAAAATTGTTGCTCTATGAGGCACTGTTTTACCCAGTTAAAGGTTACAAGAGTTTTAGTACCTAGTTACATATATTTTGAGGTTCTAAGGATATCATATCGGTCAGCCCCCCTCCCAAAGGATCTTTCGCAGAGGCGCTCAAATCTAGCATCAAATCTAGCACAATCCCTTGTTCTCCAAATTATGATTAAATCCTTCACATACATGAAAAGAATAGATTTTACCATATCATGTTCCTCTAAAATTGAGTAAATTCAGTAAAATTCAGTAAATTCAGTTATCTATAACATTTTGGTGAAACAGGAGCCAATTAATTTTTTTAAAAAAATAATGTGAGTGGGGAGAAAAAAAGCTATCTTTGAAAGTATCCCTCTCAGTTTAAAGATATTTGTAAAGATATTTGCCAATAATAAGAGGATATGAAAAAATATGGCCTACAGAACACCTTTTAATTTTGTCCTGTTCTCCAAACTTTAATAGTCTGAGGATACATGACTCTTTAATAAAAAATATAATTAGCAAATGGTACTAATGCTTTATACAATAAATCTGCCCACATAAGATACGCACCATCTGCTATGGCTGTCAACTGGCTGGAGGGATTTTGGTGGCCAGAAGACAACCTGGAGAACCATCCCTTGGCCAAGGCCTCCTGGCTGTCTCAGCACAACTGAGTCACTGTCGAACAGTTCTACGGCTTTTTGATGACCTAGCCATGCTTTCCTATAGCTGCCAGTATGGACTGGGGAACAAGGTAAGACATCCCAAAAAGTGGATGCTGTCCACAAAGTTGAAAGCTTTGAATGTTAATAGGGCATTTGCGCACACACACACACACAAGTCAAATCTTATCCTGGTCCAGGGTCTCCTAACACAAGAAAGATAAGAATGCAAGCAACAATAAGCAAAACCCATTCCGAGATATACAGTATGGTTAACATTTTTTGAAAAAAAATATGCCTCTGAATATACTGTTGGTGAACGAAAATCTAGATGTTCCTTATTACAATACTCATATTTTTGTAGCATTTTCTGTCTGTTATTCAAAATATAGAATATGACAGCTTACAGCTCTCTCCCTCCCTCCCTCCCCCTCTCTCCATCTATCTATATCAGATTAAGCTTATAGTTTACTAAAATAGGGCTGTGTTGTTTACATGAAATCACATGTCACTAAGTTGTCATTTAGAGGAAAGGATGCATACTACTGTATGGCCTTTCCCTGCTGACTTTCCTGTTATCTGCAGCTGTTGGTTCTCATCATCGCTTCATGGAAATACAAGAATACTGTATGTGAGACTTGCAAAGCATTTCAGTTACAAGGACCTTCATGGAAATACAGGAATACTGTATGTGAAACTTGCAAAGCATTTCAGTTACAAGGACCTTGCTACAAGTTGTAAGGAACATTGGAGAGCAATATAACTTAATCCAACTGAATCCAACCATCTCTCAATTTAGTAACAAATTTAAGAGTTCTACTGTTTTACAGTTTAGGCTACGGAGTTTCTTCTATGTATGTTTCAGGCTTTGTATGAAATACTGAATGAAAAAGGCTATTTGAGATGATTGAAAATACTGGAGATGAAGGGAGGAATTTTTAGATAGAAAAAGAAGTGCAGCTTGAAGTAAGTGGTTCCATTTAAATGTTCAGACAATGTTATGAAAAACAGCACTTTATTTAATCCCTTATAATCTGGTGGACAACAGGCAATTTCTGCCTTCAAGGAGTGGAAGTTTTCTGACAAGAATTAGTCTATTTTTTAATAGATAGGCTGCAAGAATGATATGGAAAAAGATGTGACACTGGATATACCAATGAAACCAGCTAATGTCTTAAAAATTAAAGGGGATGTATAAATAAACCGAAAGAGTGGCCTGAATAACTTTTCTATAACGGGTTTACAATGAGAATTGTTAAAGCTTTGAAGAATTTTGTGAAAAGGGACAAAAGAAAAATAAAATCAAGTTCTAATATATTATTTGAAGGGATTGAAGATCAAGATTGTTTAAAGGGAAGGAAAATAAACTTGGTTAATTTGATCAAGATTAAAATAGATACATTATCATTTCTGGTAACCCTTAATGGACCTTTGCTGATCAGGACTGAATAAAGAGGTTTTAAGAATTGTTTGTAGATAAGAGACAAGAAATATCAGAAGATCACATCTGTCTTTTTTTCAAGGGGTTGATAAGTTACAAACATTGTTTATAGTTATGATGAAGGGGGAAGTCATTTCTTTATATGCCTTTTCTTTACTATATATATTTTCTTTATTGTATTATTTTTTCTTTTTAGTTTGCATTAGTTTTTCATCTTTTTAATTGTAATAAAATTACTATTATATAGGCATTCTCAAACTCACAACGCCAAGAAGCTCCATTTTACGATGTTTTGCACGTCAGTACTACTTAAGGTAATACTGATCAAATCTCAGGTCTAGTTTAGGATGCTTGTGTACTAGTAATATTACATCTGAATGCCAAAGTGTAATGCACATTTCTGGTTTGGTGACTGGTCTTTGGTCCAGAAGAAGAAAGGAGAAGATGGAAGGGAGAAATCAACACTTACACTTGCTTAATATCCTATTGCAGGAGAAGGATACAGCAATGCGCTGGCTTTCTGTCTTCAACAACGTAGCTGACCAGCTTTATTACCCCTGTGAGCATGTGGCCTGGGCTGCCGATGCTGAAATTATCCATGCCAACTCAAGTAGGTGGTGGACACTCAGTACGACTCTCTGGGGCTTTTCTCTGCTGCTGGGGATTGCACGGTAAGAAGTAGAGGAGAGGGTGGGAGAAGACAGAGACTGCCTGGAATCTAGATCCCCAAAGTGCTTGAATAATTGGGACTCAGATTCCGATTGAGCAAGTCCTCATGCTTTCCTCTTTCCATATATCTGGAGTATCGAGAAGGCTGTCTAGTATCACAGAATTCAAGCATTATTAAGGACAGGGAACTCTTTCTGCTCCAGAAATATGGGCTGCAGCTAAACTTTTGTCTTTACATTCTCATTCCAGATCTCTCCGAATTTTATTACTCCTAAGAAGAAAGCAGCATACAGAATCCAGGTACGACTCCTTGCCTCGTGAGCATTTTTTTTTTCTCGCCAATTAACAGGGATAAATTCTATTTGGCATATAGGCACACATCTGAACACTTTCCAGAAAAGTTAAGAGTCAATCCAGAAGGTTAAGGGAATTTGTATTAAATTGTCCTTGTTCTTTTCCTCTTTCCTTTCTTTCTTCCCTCTCATCCATCCACCCTTTGATCTATCCTTCCTTAGTATCTGCTCTCCAAAACTTAGTTAATAAACCAAGCTACGTTGTTGGATTATGCCGATCTTTTATGGTAACAAATCAATAGTCCAGTTAGTACACATTTATTATTCTGTTTGGAACAAAAGTAGAACTTTAGCTCCTTGGGGCATTCTATTTCCACGTGAGGATTTCTTCTTGAATGCTTCAGTTGTTGCCAAGAGTAAAAACTTATTTCAGGACAAAGATAAACCGTTAGTTTTCTCCCTCCAGGTCTGATAGCAACAAATCTCAGCAAATGTTATTTTTCTCCTCCATGTCTGGTTTGCAGAGACTTCTATCAGAAAACAAGGGCTGAAATGCACATACAAGCCTTGACCATCATCAGCAACCTGGCTGACCTTGCCAATGCCATCCACTGGTTGCCTCCAGGAATTCTCTGGGCTGGAAAGTTTTCTCCATGGTTTGTGGGCCTCATGGGAAGTATTTCTTCCTTCATTGGGATCTATGAAAACTATGCAGGGGCCAGTTGTGGAACAGTTTGAACAGCAGCTTCACAATGCTGGAGAAAAGGGGCTATAACAGGAATTCATGAAGGGTTACATAATCTCTGTTGAAATGGGGGAGAGTAATTCCTATAATGGGGGAGAGTAATTCCTATTATGGTGGAGGCTAGATTGGGATTAGGTTCTACTATTAAAACATGGTGCTGCTTTTATATAACTCATACGCACTTTCCTGGAGGATCTATTTGCGAGAGCTTATAGTGTTTAGTTTGCCTACTTCACTCTCTGTATAGGTAGTCCTTGAGTTACAACCTCATTGGAGCCTGGAATTTCAGTCATAAGTCACTGTTTCCATAAGTCAAAGCACCACATGACCAGACTTGATTTTACAATTGTTTTTACAATGATTGTAGAGTGAGTCACTGATTGTTAAATGAATTACATGGTGGCTAAACAAATCTGTTCTTCTAAATGGGCATTTTTGCTGGAAATTGGCAAGAAAAGAAAACCCAGAAACTGGTGAAAACATCACAAATTGTGGTCACATGGTCACAGGATGCTACAACCAGTCGTAAATACAAGCCAACTGCCTTGCGCCCAAAATGTAATCATGTGACTGTGGGAAGGGGGCGGTAGTCATAACCTCAAGGACCCGTTATATGTAGCTTTTTAACAGTATGTTGTAATTTCAACCTGTTGTTAGCTACCTTAAGGGACAAATGGCTGCCCTGCCAATTAAATAATTTGGCTATGTTTTTTATGTGAAGAATACAGTCTTGCTCTATGTACAGTATTTTAATGTAAAACAATTAGGATTGATAATAAAAGATACAATCTCACATTTTTCCTTAGCTGATTGGCTCTCTTGATATAGCTCTGGACACTTGTCTTTTCATCAAATGTTTACTTGGAGTATGAAATCCTGTTCACTCATAGCTACATTCAATTTCAGAGAGCCAGTTTGGTGTAGTGGTTCAGGCATCAGGCTAGAAACTAAACCACGAGTTCTAGTCCTACACTAGGCCCAAAGCCAGCTGGGCCAGTCATACTCTCGATCTAGGTTGGAGGCAGTGGCAAACCACTGCTGAAAAACCTTGCCAAGAAAACTGCAGGGACTAATACAGGCAGTTGGCAGGAATCAACACTGGCTAGAAGACACCAAAAAAGCAAGCAAATAAACTCAAATTCCACTGCAGAGAAATCTCAGGGCATTAAAGAGTAGCTGCCCAATTCACAATGCAGTGGAGACATTGCCACTTTTGGACATAATTATGTTTTCACACCATAGAACATCTTTCATGATTCTCTCCTTTTGCACCAGTTTATTTGGCTTTCATCCACATCTGATCTCCAACATGGGAGCTTAGCTTGCTAGCTAAGAAGTCTTGAAACCCTCTCTCAGACAAGAGCCCTACAGAAAGGATTCAACAAAGATCTGTGTTATCTATCAGAATTATAATTCACTATGTATCTGATTTGAGGGAGACCATAGTTTGCTTTGTTTTGGCAACCACCAACACAAGTAATCACATCAAATGCAATTTCAAACAAAGATAATACTTCAAAAGACATATTTTAAGGTTCGATTTATGGTTTCATGGATTGACTCAAACAGGTTCAGGTTTCAGTTGTATCTGAGATTCCACAATTATCCTATAGTAGAGCAACAGTTGCAATCATTGCTTAAAAAATAGCCATAATTTGTTGTGACAGGATCCCATTTGATCATTACAGTAGTGCACAAATTTGACAAAAAAAATTAAACACTGAAAACCATCAACTTTACAAATAATTAAAAAGGAGAGTTACATAGAATGATTGCTATGTAATAACCACTAAGAGAGGATCTATGTACAAAGTTACTAGGATTTTGTCTAAAGAGATAGTTAAAAATCTGTTGAAGAAGCTTCAGGCTGATGTATTCACACAGAGAAGTAAAGCGCAAAATGAGCTTTTCAGACTTAAGCCACTAGAGGCAGAGGACTTCTCAATAAAGTTATAGCCACTTCTTACTACAGAGAAACATTTTTGTTCATCAGTAAGACAGAAAAGGAAATAAAAATGCCATCCATGTTCTAAAGTGCTTGGGTTCGTCTCACACCATCCATATATATCAGAAAACACTGATAAGCATGGCACAAATGGTCAGTCAGAATGCAATTCACAAACATCGTTAAGTACAATAAAATTACTTAAAGGATTTTTTTTTGTGATGCAGCTGGTAGATCTTACACAAAGAGCTTAAAAGCTAATTTTTTAAAAAAACATTTTCTTTCATGGCTGCCTACTGTAATCTTCATGACATCATCATCAGAGTCTGGATGATGGTTTCCTAAGATAGGAAGCGGGGTTCATATTAAAATGAATGGCACCATGGTTTCTGCCATGCATGGACTGTTCATAGGCTCTGCTTTCAAAGCCAGTCTCTCTTCTGACCTCCAAACTTCCTAATGGCTCTAAAAGGAAACCAAGGTCTCCATACAGTCAAAAGAACACATACAGGCCCCACAATAAAACAAGACCCAGAGTACAGGAGTTTCACCTTGAGACACTATTCAGGTGCAACAAGGTGGAAGAAATCAGACTTTTCCACAACTCACTTTCGAACAAGTACTTGTGGTGCCAGGACACAAATACAAGGTGCAGAGTGTAAATTTGGGGAAAGTTAAAACTTCAGCAGCTTGCATCTCCAGTAGTTTTCTGACCTGAGGAACAGACACAGAAGAGAAGCAATGGACGTTCCCACAGGGAATGACATCTTTTGGCGAGAATGAAGCTCCACTCAAAACATCTTGATCAGTTATTAAGTTAAGAATTTCTTCATTTCCTTCATTTGAACAATCAACCAGAAACAACTTGGCGTTCAATGTAATTCTGACCTGCATTTCCCACCCACTTCCCGCCTCACACTCCATCCAAACTATCTGGAAAGGGTCTGGAAAATTGAGCCTGCTGTTGTGTGGGGCTGGTTACTGCAGCAAGGGTCTTCAGCAGGGACAAAAATCCAGGACTCAATTTGCACTGGAGGACTTCCCCACAACGGGGAGGAGAGGAGGAAGAAAAATGAGTCTTCAGGGGAGATGAGGTGCTTTGCAACCAGGCAGGGCCTAATCTAGTTCCCTCAGATTCCCTCCACAGAGTCCCTAAGACCATCAACATCTTTGTTTGGTCCTACACAGAGTCCAAGGGCCACCTTATGGTTGAATGTGAAGCTTTTATTGTAAAAGCTTGCCTTGGAACTCAAAGAAAGCCAGAACAATGTTCTAGCCCAAGGAACGATGTAAGCAAAGCCAAGATTGTAACATGAAGCCCCCAAATGAAATCTTCATTTTGAATCCTTTTCCAGGGAAAATCTTGCAGCTCTGCCTTCAGATTATGCAGCTGGGGCAAGGCAGACCATCCAACACCCATTTGGGCAAAGAAAGCAGACCTTGGTGTTGATCAGAAAAAAATAACATCATCTTTGCTAGCGTCATCCAGAGCAGGTGGAAGGACGTGAATGCTGTTGGGCTTCATGGGACCAACAGAGGTAGATGGCGCTTCCAGGTGGCTGCTCTCAGCAGCACCAGCCAGTTCTGTCAGGGGAAAAAAAAGGGAAGAGGAAAAGGTCACTACACAGCATAGTACTAGATCAGCTACCCCAGCTATGCCTGTCAAGTGTATTTTACCTGGAAGGAAGGCAACATTCTGGCTATGCAGAAAGACGGGGCTTGCAGAACGCCTGTTTCGAGACTGAGATTCTTCCTTGGTAACTATCTTGGAAATTGGGAATGGCCTCATATCACCTGATGCTTGAAATAGAAATGAAAAGAGGAAAAACTCAGCTGATCTATGATAGTAAAGGAATCACCAGGCATTAAATCATAGCCCGGTCAACTAAATAAGGCTTCTTTGTCAGCAACAACTAATTTTAATAAATACGTTGAGAGAGATCCATAAAAGGTATTAAGGTAGAGTCTGATTACTTTGGTTTGGGTTAGTGGATCACGATCTGAACTTGGCCATTATTATTTCTATGTCCTACTTTTGATGATGATATTAAGAGCTCTATAACTGTAACATTCAACAAACTGGTCAGGATGAAACCATGGTTTATTGCAGAGAAAGACATCAGTTTTGCAACTACGGTCCATAATATTTTAAACTTTCAGCAGTCTCAAGGAACACGGTGGCATAATCTCTAGTTTGTGTGCAAGAAATCTGGTCCGTTCCCAGTCACCTCAGACTCGCCCACAAAATTGGCACAAAACACAGATTCAAAAGAGGAACACATTTTTGCCACAAGAAACTGTCTATCCACCCATAACATACATTCTGCTACAGTTCTCAGTATAACAAAGGCAGAAACATTTTAATGAGCTACTAAAGTAGATTTTCCTCATTTGACAATTCGTAGAATTCCCCTCCCTGCATATAAAGTTGGGGATTGAAGTTCTAGCACAAGAGGAGGGTAAATGGCTGAGGAAGGCTATAGAAGATGTTGAGGAAATTCCACAAATGAAACACCACCATTCAGAACTTCCATCTAGATTTCAGTACCAGAGGTGGTATTCAGAAGGTTCTGACCAGTTCTGGAGAACCGGTAGCAGAAATTTTGAGTAGTTCGGAGAACCGGCAAATACCACCTCTGACTGGCTCCATCCATATCTATTCTCTGTCTCCCGAGTCCCAGCTGATCGGCTGGGTCTTTTTTTTTTCTCAATTGCTTACAAGATAATAGGTACAAGTAAAAACATAGTTATGAATACATGGATAAATATAAGAAAAATAAAAGAAACAATAGGACAGGGGCGGTAGGCACGCTGGTGCGCTTATGCACGCCCCCTACAGACCTCTTAGGAAAGGGGTGAGGTCAATAGTAGACAGTCTAAAGTTTTGGGGGTTTGGGGAAGAAACCACAGAGTCAGGTAGAGTATTTCAGACGTTGACCACTCTGTTGCTGAAGTCATATTTCCTGCAGTCAAGTTTGGTGCGATTAACCTTGAGTTTGTATCTATTGTTTGCTCTTGTGTTGTTATGGTTGAAGCTGAAGTATTCATTGACAGGTAGGACATTGCAATGTATGATTTTATATACTATACTTAGATCAGACCGAAGGTGGCATAGTTCTAGGTTTTCTATGTCTAAAATTTCGAGTCTGGTGGCATAAGGTATTCTGCAACGAGTAGAGGAGTTGAGAGCTCTTCTTGTGAAATATTTCTGGACTTTCTCAACTGTGTTAATATCAGATACGTAATGCGGGTTCCAGACTGATGAGCTGTATTCGAGTATTGGTCTAGCAAATGTTTTGTATGCTCTAGTTATTAGTGTAATATTTGTTGCCCTGCACAGGAGAATGGAGCTGGAAAGCAGGTTAAGTGGGGTGGGAAGGGAATGGAGATTTTGCAGTAACCTTCCCCTGCCATGCCCACCAAGCCATGCCCACAGATCTGGTAGTATATTTTTTTTAACCCCACCCACTGTCCAGTACCATCAGCAGTTTCTGTCCTGTCTCCTAGCCTATCCCTGGTCCGAGGGTTCTCAGCAACTTACGTGAACTTTCAGTCCTGTGGGAGGTCACCTTGACAGCCTTTCCAGCTTTTTCCTTGCTGCCCTTGGTCAAAATGGCCAGCTTGGTGGGGATCTGCTGCTGCACAGCTGCCTGTTTCTGGCTCTGGTTGGTGGTACTCAGCAAGTGGATGGGCACCTCATTCTTCAGGACCAGAATGGGGCGGCCTCCCTCCAAGGCTGCACTGTCCTTTCGCACCAATTCTCCTCGCTCCAGGTATTCTGTCCCAGAGATGCTGCCTCGCCCACCTGGCTTGGTAGGCAGCATGGCTCCTTCCATACTTTCACCATTGAAGCTGACCGAGTGGCTCAGGGCTTGCGCCTGGGGAAAGTGGAAGATATTGGTCATTCACCTCTAGAGGAATCAAACTTCTAAGGACAGGTTCTTGAAAGCAAAAGAGGAAAGAAGTGGGAGTGGGAGCAGATTGCCAATTCTCAGGCTTACTTTTCATAAAGGCAGCTTCCTTATACAGGTAGTCCTCAACTTCCGACCACAATTGAACCAGAATTTCTGTTGCTAAACAAACTGGCTGTTAAGTGAATTGGGCCTGATTTTACAATCTTTTTTGCCATGGTTGTTAAACGAATCACTGCAGGTGTTCATTCAGTCATTAAGCAAATCCAGCTTCCCCCATTGGCTTTTCTTGTCAAAAGCCGGCTGGGAAGGTTTTACAGAACGGAATATCAGACCCTGGGGGCTTCTAGTCTAACCCCTTGGTCAAGCAAGAAACTCTATACCCGTGGTGGCTAACCTTTTGGGACTCCCGTGCCAATAATTGCATGTGTGCTTGCCTGCTCGTGCTCGTGTGCCATCACCCAGAAGGCAATGTGTGCGGGGGGGCCCTATGCCTTCTGCGCATGCACGCACAACTCACACGACTTGCGCTGCGTGCTTCTGCACATGCATGCGTGACCCCCCATGCACCACGTGCTTCTGCGCATGGGTGTCTCCTGCGCCTGCCATACCCCCTCATATGCGCGCCAGATACCCAACAATCAGCTCTCGGGCGGGCAGTGCACGCGCATGCGCAATATGCCTTTTCTGTGTGAGTGCTCATGTGCCGGCAGTAATGGCTCTGCGTGCCACTTCTGGCACGCCTGCCATAGGTTCGCCACCATGGCTCTATCCCATTTCAGGGTTTCCTGCCTAAGTAGGGGGTTGGACTAGAAGACCTCCAAGATCCCTTCCAACTCTGTTATTCGATTCTATTCTAAATCTAGAGCACTCACAATTTCTGGAGGCAAGTCGTTCCACTGGTTAATTGTTCTCACTGTCAGGAAGTTTCTCCTTAATACCAGGTAGTATCTTTCCCTGATTAGTTTCCAACCATTGCTTCCTGTCTTGCCTTCAGGTGCTTTAGAGCAGTGGTCGCCAACTGGTGGGCTGCGGCCCACTGGTGGGCCCCAAGAAAATGTTGGTGGGCCATAGAGGAATCTCACCCTCAGAGCACCCCCCCAAAGCAATTAATCCAGCCTGTGCAGAAACATAATGGCCCACGGGAACCCTCCCCACCCACTCACTCCTTACCCAGCAAACTTGCCTGCTTCCTTTTTCTGACCATCAGCTGTTCTACTCTGCTGGGAGATTTAGATTAGCTAGAAAGCAGGAAATTGTTGAGTTTCTTACTTTCTAGCTAGTCTTTAGATCTTCGGCTCTGCTTTTAAGCACAGCCGAACCTCCCTTAGGACTGAAGGTTCTATTATTCAGTGCAGACTCACAGCAAGCAAATTTTATGTGACAGACTGAGCTAGCCGATGGCAGATAGATAGATCATTGAATGATTCTGTGAGCAACTCAATCTGCCTGCCTGCTTTGCCTGATTTTGGGTAAAAGGTGCTTTTTATAAAAAATTCAATATTTATATAAATATTTATAATATTTATATACATACAGGCCATGCCCAGCCAGTCACATGACCACCAAGCCACACCCACAAGTTAGGCCACGCCCACAGAGCCAATTAGTGGTCCCTGGGATTTAAAATTATTAGTTTGGTGGTCCCTGAGGTTGAAAAGGTTGGCGACCCCTGCTTTAGAGAATAGGTTGACCCTCTCTCTTCTTTGTGGCTTTGCTGTTGGAACACTGTCATCATGTCACCCCTACTCCTTCTTTTCACTAGATTGGACATACCCAATTCCTGCAACCGTCCTTATCCTAAGTCCAGTTTCTAAGTCAGCTCAAATGGCAATTGAAGGTTGCAAATGGTGCTCATATGGCTCACTTAGTCTTATATACCGCCGGGCTTTACAGACGTCTCTAAGCAGTTTACAGAATCAGCATATTGCCCCCAACAATCTAGGTCCTCATTTTACCCACCTTGGAAGGAGGGAAAGCTGAGTCAACCTTGAGCTGGTGAGGATTGAATTGCCGAACTGCTGGCAGCTGCAGTAGCAGAAGTAGCCTGCAGTATTGCACTCTAATTACTGCGCCACCACGGCTCTTGAATATGAACCAAGGATGTAACCTTCATAAATATATGCCAGGTTTGCCCAAATTTTGATCATGTGACTATAGTGATGCTGCGACAGTTATAAGTGAAAGTCGCTTTTTGCACTTCTATTTTAACTTCAAAGGGTCTCTAAGTGAATGGTTGTAAGTCAAGGACTACTTGTATCTTTCCAATAGGCCTTCCAGCACTTACTTGGCCTGGCTCAGGCGAGAAGGCACCCGAGACTAGATGCTGCTTCTTCTGCTTGCGCAGCTGTTCCAGACGTTCACGCTCCTTCTCCACGGCTCGCTGGGATTCCCGCAGCCTCTCCAAGTCATGCTGATAGGCCTCTCGCTGCTGTTCCAGCTCCTCCCGTTCTTGGTTCAGACGCTCCATCAGCTGCCGTGCCTCCTCCTCTCGCTCCTGTAACTGTTTCTTCTCCACCTCCATCTGGCGCCGCTGGCGGTCACAGTCTCGTTCCCAGCGCTGCTGCTCAGTCTTCAACTGGCTCTGCAATTTCTGCACATTGGCCAGTTCTTCCCGCTGCTTCTCAAAATTGCGTTGTCTCTCCTGATCCAGCAGCAAATTCCCTCGCGTGGATTGTAGCCGGAACTGCTTCTGCAACTCAATGTAGCTGTCCTGCTGGGCTGTCACCGCCTGAGAAGGGGTGGAGGGGAAGATGCACTGCTGAATTTTCCCCATCAAAAAAACTGGGAGAAGGGAAACCCCGCAGGTTGGTTCTGTGGAAATGCTCCCAGAAAGATGTTCATAATTGTGTCCCCCTAATGCTCTAGCACAGGGGTATCAAGCCCAAGGCCCACAGGCCAGATCTGGACCATGGGAGCCTTAGATCTGGCCTAAGGGTCCACCCTGGAACAGCGAAGGACTGGGCCGCAGTGCCTCTGCAAGCGAAAACGGAGTCCAGGAGGGCTGCATGCAGCCTCCCCAAGCTCCGTTTTCGCTGGCCGAGGGCTGCAGGAGGCCATCGTGGCCAAGAACTGAGTCTCAATGAGTGATGTCGAGCTGGCCACGCCCCCCCAGCCACGCCCAGCCCCGTGAGGTCAAACACAAGTCTGATGCGGCCCTCAATGAAATCAAGTTTGACACCCCTGCTCTGGCAGAAAGTTTTTCCTATCCCCACTTATTTATAATTCTCCCTCTAGAACAATCCTCTCAATAGACCTACAAGTAACAGACATTTGTAAGTAAAAACATAATCATTACTCTTTTTTTCAAACAAAATGGCAGCTAATGGAGACAACCCTAGAAAGAAGGTAAAGGAATAAAGAGCCCAGGAATAAACCAAAATCTTAAGCCTCTCCCTTGCCTTTCAGACTGATGGAAATATTTTTTTATTAAATGGTCATGTCATAACAGGACACTAAGTAGATCTTAAGACTTTCTAATGAATGCTAGACTGGAAAAGGTACTTTTTTTCCCCCTTTCTCCTCCAAGACTTCTCCATTCAGGTCACTGCCCATCTTGTTATTTTGCTAGTCCTTCTTGCTCCACCAACACAAATCATAAAAAAGCAAAAAAAAGTGAGGGGTGACGATAGGAAAAGACAGTGGCACTTTACCTGGAGACTAAGCAGCAACTGCAAGAGGGTCTGTATCCTTTGAACAAGCTGAGGGAAAACACAAAGAAGGTGGTGTTACCTAATATCTGTCTTCATGAGCTCTGCCATTTGCACACCCAAATATCAGGAACCAAGAACTTATTTCCATATACCAGCAGGCCATAAATGGGCCCAATCGGGTTAGGGTTTTTCCGTCAGAACCCCAGCCTCTCTTCCCACCCCCTTGTCCAACTTCTCAAAATCTACTTTGGGCAAAACATAACTGCTCTGCCAATGTGCTGTCAAATCAATGGCTGAGTAAAAAAAATGTATAGCTCCTTTTGTTGAGCACATGATTTTAAAATCTATATCAGAACTATACTCCGAATCCCACAACTCTTCCAGAACTTGAACATGAATCATAATTTCTAATGTACTGAAAGGAATAATTATGGAATAAATTGAAATTGACCTGTGTTTAATTTAATTTAATGTTATTTAATGCTTGTAGATTATTTTGGAGTGGGCAGCCCAATAATAATGCAACTAAATGACATCAAATTTAGTTTTTGACCTGGCTTTGCCCATTCTCTGGAATAAAGCAGTTAGCATAGCAAAGCAGCCCTCAAACTGGGGAGAAGTGGGGGGGGGGCATTGCTCTCTTGCTCTCCACCATCATGGAGAAAATAATTGACCAATACCTCTGATTCAGTCCACAGCAGTGGTTGCAAGCTGCTATGATGTTCCAGTCTTGTGTTATTGACCTGACGGGATAAAAAAATTGAGAAGCTGGGTTGACATGACATACCAAACTAAGCTAAAATGGGGTTGGCATGTCTGTGGTTCAGCCTACTGAAACCCAACCATTATCTTAGTATGCTATGGGAGAAGAATCAGGGCATTAAGTCATAATATACAGTACTTAATTATTCAGGCACATTATGTGAACACATTCAATGCACCGTTCAACCAAACACTTAAGACAAAAAAGGTTTACAAGGGAGGGCTTATATCATCCCCTACTAGCAGACTCTTTAGTTCCCGATATGGTCTTCCCACCATATTTACTCTTTCACAATTCTGTAAAACAGGAAATACTTTAAGGTATTGACTGTCCCAAATCATTGTAGTAAATTTCACTTACTACAACACTTACTGGGGATGTGAAGGAAGACTTTCCAGACCTTAAATCAGGGATATATACTCTCTGAAAGGTGAAGGGGAGCAACATAATACCTTCTTCTGAGGATCACAGGTGGACATCAGGTGGTAACACCAGAAAGGGCAGGGCCAAAATGTCGTTTGTTCCTTTTTTATTATAACAAAGCCCTCAAAAACACCTTTTAAGTAAATCAAAAGACTCAGTAGCCAAAGAAGAAAAAACAAGAGTCTACAACAAATGTAAGGTCTGTAACAGTCACCATGTAAGACAGAGAAGCAAAAGACGAGCACAGCGCATTCATGAATATTGATAGCGGTCAGAAGACACAATGAAAACTCCTTAATCTCACAACACATGGACAGACTCAATCGTGGTTTCAACTGAAAAACTAAGCATTTTAGATCAAGCTAAATCCAAAAATGCTAGGCAATTTCTGGAAACTTGGCATTTAGATAAATCTGCCATCAACAGGCACATAGAGATAAACCACATTTACATACCATTCAAAAGAGAATAAAAACGCTAAGAACAAAACAAAAAGAGTGAAATGTATTCTTTCCAACAATGAAATAAGGAGATCAACACCATACAAACAATCAAGCAGAAAATACCACCATGATCAAGGAACTACCAAGGAGAAGAAAAAAAACATAGCCCCACCAACAGTGGTAGGGAAACTTACTGTATATAAACAGGAAGCAAATCCCACACTCCCTAGCACTGATGATGTTACCTGGTCAGATAATACAATATCTGCAAGCACACAACTAAACTCAAAGAGCACCAAGGATGCTTTTTCACAAGATAAAAATCTGCAATGTGCACAAGAGTTATATAAATATGTTCATTTCATTCCAACTTATATGCCGTCCAGATTTTCAATTGCTAAAGGGGAGGAAGGAATAGCCAGATGTTTTTCAAACTGAGCTAAAAAGAAAAAGAAGCCCATAGCCATCACTATTTCCAACATGATTAGGATATAAATACAGAGATTTTGGAGAGCAAATTCCACCTACCAAACACAGCCCCTCCTCTCCAGCAGATGCGAGCTCTTGTTGCACTTGCTGTGAATTGCCTGGGGTGCCTCGCTGATCTGGCGCCCGCTGCTCTCCACCACAGACTTTCTTCTTGAAGCTGCCAGCTGAAAAATAAAGGACAATTCAGAATTCCCAAAACTCTCTTCTTTTTTTCTCTATTTTTAATTTATTTGCCCTGAATTACATAAATAAATCCAAGACCCATAGGAATTAAACCCTCTATTTGTTTTTACACTTTGTATATTTTTTATGTTTCCGCTTTTATTGTATTGTAAGCCATGCAGTGTTGCTTTGGATAATGAGATGGGCAGCATATAACCTTAATTTTTTTTTTTGGGGGGGGGGGGGAAGACCACCGCAAGATCATTCAACACTGATGGAGTTTTTGCAGAGACTAAAATAGTACAAACTGGGCTCAGGCAAGTAGGCAGGATTTAAAACATTTCTTTACAACGACATTCTGTCTGCAGGGGGAGCAGTAATCACAAGTCACTCATTCCTCATGCTCCTTCCTCCATTCCTCTTTTGACAGACCTGTCATGGCACTGTCGTATCCTCCAAAAGTCTCAGCTCGCCTCAGCAACCCAGACCCACTGGAATCTTCAGGATGAGAGCTTGCACTGGCCAGCTGGGTGAAGATCAGGTTCTGAAGGCTCTCCACTAGAAGACAGCAGCCAAGAAGGCAGTTGAGTAGGAAAAGAGGAGAAGATGTCTATTGCTGTGAACAATTATGCTCTCCACTGTACATGATGAATACAGGGCCTTTCACAATCTTATCACAAGCATATCAATGGGGAAGCCAGATTCACTTAACAACCATGTTATTAACTTAACTGCAGTGATTCACTTAACAATTGTGGCAAGAAAGATTGTAAAGTGGGGCAAAATTAATTTTGCAACTGCTTTGCTTAGCAACGGAAGTTTTGGACTCCATTATGGTCATACATTAAGGGCTACCCATATTACATGGTCCTATCATATAGTATCTTCCCTGTTCTTTCACCTCCAGTGCACCCACCTTCTATCACTGCCTGCTTGAGGATGGACTCCCCCTGTAAGGTCTCTGGAGAATCCACTCTGTTGATAAACCGGAAGCGGGAGCCAGCTGCCAGGTCCTCAAAACCAATCATATCTGCCATCTCCTGGTAGATCTGTTGCTTCTCGTTTAGACTTTGCACGATCAGATCATCTTTCATGTTCAAACGCTCTGGAGAGTGGAGAAGGGGAAGGGAGAAGGGAAGAGACAACTCAACGTCATGGTGCTTGGATGGCTGCTGCTGCAACAACAGCAAGCCCAGCAACCCATTCTTCAGGCATTGTTTGCAAGATGACAAAGAGAAAGAGAGTTCTTGATTTACAACCACAACTGTGACCAACAGATGTTCTGTCCGATTTTATGACCTTTTTTTGCCATCGTTAAGAGAATCACTGTATCTATTATATTATAAGCTGCCCAGAGTCACCTCAGACAGTGAGGTGGCTGGTACATAATTTAATAAATAAACAAAATAAATCACAGTTAAGTGAATGCAGCTTTCCCCATTGCTTCTCGGATGCCAACTGGGAAGATTAGAAATGCCGATCGTGTGACTTTGACACGGCATCCATTGTAAATATACGCTGGTTGCTAAGTGCCCACATTTTTATCAGTGACTTGGGGGGGGGGGGGGGGGACTGTGATGATCATAAGTGTGAGGACCAGTCATGTCACTTCAGTCCTGTTGGAACTTCGGTCATTAAATGAATAGTTGTAAGTCAAGGACTACCTGTAATGCTTTTACAGAGCAATTCACAACCAAAGGGTCTGATAGTAACTTCCCCTGGCTTCCTCTTCCTTCCTTGCAAAATGTGAGATTGCACATTTTGCAAGGAAGGAAAGAATAAGTCGCCAGAATCAGGCAAACCCAATCCTCTTATAATATACAATTTTGCAAGACAAGAGCCTTTACCTTGAAATTCTTTCAGTTTTGCAGTTCTCACTTCAGCCTGCTTTTTTTCCTCTTCTGGATCAGCAAGGACACTGTCCTCTTCATCAGAACTGCAAAGAAATATAAGCCATTGAAGTCCTGGTCAGAAAGGAGTCCTAATGTCCTATTTAGCTGGAAAGAAGGCTCTTTTCATAAACCATTCGTTCAGCAAACATTTGACGTTATGATGGTTCTGAAAAAGGAGACTTAAAACCAATCCTCAAAGTTCTGTCTGTTTATTACATTACCATGATCGCAACTTAGATGTTGGGCAATCAACTCACACGTACAATGGCTGCAGCATCCTATGGTGATGTGATCCTATTCTTAACCTTAACCCAAGAAAAGTCAATGTGAAAGCTGGCAAGGAAGGTCACAAGACACTCCAGTAAATCCCTTGCCCCTTCCTTGGTTAGCAGCAGCCCTCTCTGACCTCACACTATGCCTTGTGGGCCATTTGCACAACCTCTCCACCTGGCAATAGCCACTCATGCTATGAACCACCGTGCTCATGCCGTGCACTTTTCGAGCTGTGGTGGCACAGTCGTTAGAATGTAGTACTGCAGGCTACTTCTGCTGACTGCCAGCATTTCAGCAATTGGATCATCACCACCTCAAGGTTGACTCAGCCTTCCATCCTTCCAAGGTAGGTAAAATGAGGACCCAGATTGTGGGGGGCAATATGCTGACTCTGTAAACCGCTTAGAGAGGGCTGTAAAGCACTGTAAAGCGGTATATAAGTCTAAACGCTATTGCTATTGCTTTCATGCCTGTTGCAGAGCTTTCCACCTGGGTCTTAATTAACAACCAGAGATCCTCACTTAATGATGGGAATGGGGAGCATTGGGATTGTTGTTGCTGAGCAATGCTGTCACCGGATGTTGTGCCTTACGACCACCTTGCTTATCAACAGAAATTCTTGGTCCCAATTACTATCATCAACCAAGGACTACTTGTATTTCCTTATGACGACAAAATAACAGGTATGGAACTCAATACAGGAGAGAAAAACAGAACAAAATATTTTATATGCTCACTTTTCCACTGCCCTGCGAATTTGCGTCATCCAGATATTCCTTTCCTCCTTGGAGTTGGTGTGAATCTCATACATCTCTGGTCCTTTCTTGGAAGCAATGATTAAGAACATGGCTCGTTCCTCGTTGGCTACTTCTCGGACTATCAGTTTTTGCAAGGAAATCACCGGTGGCTTTGAGTCCTGTGATGCAAGATACATCATCATCATCATCATCAGTCCATCTATGACAATCCTAAAAAGCTGTAGTATTTCTTCTTTACACAGAACTTTATACTTGTAAATCTGATTAACCTGGAAAGAGTGAAAGGAAGTAGGAAAAGTATCCCAAAGACCCCTGCTTGTCTCTGATTATCTCTGCCTAGCTGGGAAAGATCCTTTTCTGCCTGAAAGCCCAGATAATTGCTGTTGGCTAGGTTATACTGGGCAAGGGAGACACAGCCAGGTCGAATAGCTGGTTGTGTTTACTGTTGAAATCCTGAAGGACTATTGCATTGAAGACAGAGCCGGGTGTCTCTTCAATGGAATGGCCTGCCTTCAGAAGTCGTGGGTGCTCCATCACAGGAGGTTTTTAAGAAGAAATTGGTCAACCATTTGTCTGAAATTGTATAAAGTCTCCTGCTTGAGCAGGGAATTGGACTGAAAGGGTTGCCAACTTTCGAACCTCAGGGACTACTGAATTCATAATTTTAAATTCCATGGACCACTAATATGATTTTTTTTAAAAAGATAAATAGTATTTAGTGCAATATAAAAAATGCAAATAATTTCTCTGCGGACCACCAAAATTTCTGCGGTTAGAGACCGCTGGACTAGAAGACCTGCAAGGTCCCTTCCAACTCTATTATTTTGTTATTCTTGGGAGTTCCTCCGCACGGAAAGCCCTTCGTTTGGTATAATCAGTTTGAAAGATGCACACAGGGGCACACAAGCATCCACGCGCACACACGCACACACACAGACACACACCAAAGAATCCAACTTGCTAATTTGGTTAAATTATAAATGCATTAAAATCAGTATTTTGATTTAACAGATGAAAGGGTATTTACTGCACATTTGTTAATTAATTATAATTGTAATAGCTGGTAAAGAAATGAAAATATACTAAATAAATATGTGTACTAGTAATTAAATGAAAATATACTAAATAAGTATACTAAATAAATGAAAAAATACTAAATAAATAGGACTGCAATACAATGGAAACCAGAGACAATATAAATTTTCCAATAAAACTCAGTATTAGTAAATAAATTCAACTGTCATTGTTTAAAAACATTAAAATATTCATTTCAACTGTATGATAATAAAGAGCATGCCATTTTCCTGATCGGCTCTCAAACAGTTGCGCTTTTGTGTAGTAATGAACATATCTTAAAAAACCTGCAGGAAGTTACAAAAGCTGAAGCCAGTAGTTAGTGGACTGAGGCAAAGACATGCTGGGTTCCTAGAATTTTCTTGGCCGAGACCCAATCAAACCAGAGTTTTTCACTGTAGCTCAGATTTATCTGTTATTACAGAAACCACAGAAAGTTCCAGGTTTTCCATACCACCCTGCCTATCCTTAGCAGAGATAAATACATACCAAAGATGCAAACGTGTATTTCTGGTCTTTCTCTTGCAACAGCAAAAGCACATCTGTCAGCAGAACAGCCAAAATATCTGCCAAAATTATTGGAAAAAGGGAAGTTGAAAACAAAATAATCCTTTCAAGCAGAACAAGTAATTTTTTAAATATTAGGCACTAATTCAAGGTCATTTGCTGTTGAATTTTTCCTTTTGGGGGATTAGTCAGAATAGTGTCATTTTAGTCCAGCGCTAGTACATTTACCTACAACACTATAAGCAGCTTTCTGAGGTACAGTTTTATACTCTGATCATTTCATTGACTAAATATGGATGCTCCAATGTTTGGCCATCCCAAAATACCAATCCAAATTTCCCCTGTCATCTACAGCCGTAACACTAGTTTTTCTAGATAAAAATATCTGTCCACCTGACTTTGCATCAGCTTTTCTGAGCAAATATTCATTTCACTATTTGCCGCTCAAACGTCATGTTGAAAACTATACCTAAGATAATTTAAATGCATCCCTAAAGGGGAATTTTTAACAAGGAAACTGAATCTCTTATATCAACAGAAAACCCATTTTCAGAGTTGTCGATTTTCATGATGCCAAAGAAACATTACTCAGATACAGGATTAACCAGTCAGGTGGAGATGGGCTCAAAGATATGCAGAAAATCAAAAGAAAAAAGGAAAGGAAAAAGAGAGAGAGAGAAACATTTCTGGAGGAGGGAAGGAGAAGAAGCTCAATGAGAACTTTAAAAAGCGACTGAGCTTCACAGGATGACTCACATCAGAGCAGAAGGCAGATAAGAACAACATGAGCAAGAAGTTCCTTGCTTAAGATCAGCAGGCCAAATTTAATACTCCAAAGAGAAGAAAGTGCACCTATATCATGGGGTTAACATGACACAGCTTTGAAGTGTGAAACGGTTGGAAGTCAATTTTTGTCACAAATGAAGAAAATGTTTTGTCTTTCCCTTGGGTGCCTGAGAAAGACACTGATTCAATAAATAAGTCATCATTTCAGTCAATGCCTCCCTCTCAATTGGGCAGGATCTTTGGGGACAGAAGCCAATTACTAAATGCTATTTTGCAAAAGTTTAATTGGGCAAGCCAAGCATGAGACAAGTCTCTTTCTTCCAATATACAGAATAGACCAGAGGTCCCCAAACTTGGCAACTTTAAGACTTGTGGACTTCAACTCCCAGAATTCTGGAAGTTGAGGTCCACAAGTCTTAAAGCTGCCAAGTTTGGAGACCCCTGGAATAGACACTCCTGTGTGTCTGATTACTGAGTAATGCAGCAAGCACCTGAAAAGGAGAACAGACACCCCACAGAATTCACCTTTTAGACGCCCTGAAGCAGCTTTCCAGTACAGCATCCCAGCCAGTAGGAGGCGCCGCTGAAGCATATCCTCCTTCCGGAAGATAAGGCCATTCTTAAACTTTCCAGAAGACTTGAGTTCCATCTTGGTTACAATTTCCCGAAGGCGCTGCTGTTTCTCAGACTCATTCACCTTGGTGTCAACAGCTGTGATGGCATCCTTGATAAGCGATAATGCTTTGGTCAGGTCTTCATACTCCTTTGTGGTGACTGCAAAGATGAAGTGAGACAGCATGAGACAGCTACAGTGCGTAGCTTTGCCATCTGGATTAGTCCATATAACAAAAAATGGCACCAGCATTTTGTAGCATTCTCAGAATTACCAAATTGATTGCAGGAGAAAACATTTAGAGACCAGAGATAAAATACCATCAAACTAAATCATTCTAAATCTGTTAATTATGACCTTTCGCTGATCCTTTTAAGTGACTAACAGCATAGGTTTAGATTATACTTATGTTTTGCACATATTTTGTATACATACATTCAGACAGTATTAATAAACAACACAGAATTAATCCTCATGACTATAACTGAGATTAGAATTACAGTTGAAAGTCATGGCAGCTGTTAATTGGGAGACCATCAATTTTATTACCATTTCGTGGTGGTCATTAAGTGAACAGCACAGTTGTTAAGTGAACCCATTGTACCCAGTGGGAATTTTTTTTGCTGGAAACCAGAAATAAACAATCGTTTCCAGGAAAAAAAAAGTCATAAATTGTGGTCATGTGACCACAAGATGTTATAAATGGCCATAAATGCAGGCTGGTGAGTCAAAATCCAATCCTGTGACAAAGGGTGGGGTAACTGTCAGGACTGGTCACAAGTAGTTCTGGGGAGGGGTCCAGCAAATATGGCTAAAACTATGTAGTTTTCTTGGTAGCAATACTAAAATCCTTTCCCATTATCTTTTTCCTGATTCAACTGGAGTTGTTGAGAATCAGCCTACATACAAGTTAGTGAATTTGTTTATTACTAGGTTTGGCCCTGCTTAAGGATTTGGGTTTTTTTTATATATATTAGCCACCTAGAAGATGTTTGATGCTACCGAAAGAGGGGGGGGGGGAATGTTTCACTTAATAAACGGATATGCAACCTGACCAACGAGAAGGGTCTGTCTGAAAGCATTTGGGAAGGAATACTATCCAGGGCCCAGGAATAAAAAAAAAAAAACTGAAAAGTCAAATTCTGCATCTAAACAACAGTTTTGCCATGTTCCCTATGTTGCTTGGGGTGAATTGTGCTGCCTAGTGAGCCCTTCTGATAAAGCAGGGGTGTCAAACTCAAGGCCCAGGGGCTGGATCCCAGGGCTTCTGCCAGCAAAAACGGGTTCCCAAGCTCCATTTTTGGCTGCCATGGCCTCCTGCAACCCTCTGCTAGTGAAAATGGAGCTTGGGAAGGTGGTGCGGCCTTTCTGAGCTTCGTTTTCACTGGCAGAGGGTTGCAGGAGGCTATCACAGCTGAAAACGGAGCTTGGGAACCTGTTTTCGCTGATAGAGCACTTGGGCGCCCCTGACAGGAGTGATGTCAAGCTGGCCACACCCACCCCGGAGGTCAAATACAGCCCTGATGTGTCCCTCAATGAAATCGAGTTTGACCCCTGTGATAAAAGGTAGGAGTCAAAAGTGGCTAAATAAGCGCCTTTAATATGTCAAGTTTTTTACCTTCGGTGTTCTGAATGATGCGCTCCACCAAGACAGGATACTTCATGATGCGCTGGGTGACTAAAAGATTGCACTCTTGGACACCAAGCCGTCTCACAATGGAAGAATTGCTGATTTTCTGAAATATATCACATCCACCAAATATACTTACTAACAGGTGAATTTAATACCACGCCTTTCATTTCTTTCGTCAAAAAGTAGAAGAAATGAAGCAAAATGACCTGTCCTCTCCTTATTCTTCTTTGGTATGTGAAATCATGCATTCACGATTTGTCTTAACTTTCTCCCTTTTCTGTAACCAATCATTTTTCAGTTAGCACAACCTGGAAAAATCATTCTATCTCTTCAGTAAATGAACCTGCAGAGTTTTCTGTGCAAGGAATTCTAAAGATACATTATAATTCTTTCTCTTTGTTCCACATCTTGCTGCATCACATTTCAAAAATCTTTCTAACCCAGCACCCTTACTAGTGTATATGGCAATAAGCTTAGTAAATCACTGAGGAAATAAGCACAGCATTCGACTCTTTCATGAACTACACTTTTGTTGAAACATCTATTATTAACAGTAGAGTACCTTTGGTCAAGCTTGATCCCTAATGTGGCACCTACATACTTCTCTTGGTCATAATATTGGTAGTCCTTGATGTACAACCACAGTTGGGACCAGAGTTTCCATGGCTAAGCAAGGTGGCTGTTAAGTGAGTCATCCCAATTTTACAACCTTTTTTTGGGCTACAGTTGTTAAGCAAATAACTGTGGATGTTAAGTAAATCATACGGTCATTAAGCAAATCTGGTTTCCCCATTGATTTTGCTTGTTGAAAACAGGCTGGGAAGGTCACAAATCGGGATTCGTGATCCCAGCACTTGCAACCATTGTAACTACATGCCAGTTGCCAAGCAGCCGGATTTTGGTCATGTGACCGTGGTCATTAAGTGCAAGGTACCATTTGTAAGTCACCTTTTTTTTTTTTTTCCAGCACCATTGTAACTTGGAACGGTTGCTAAAGAAATGGCTGTAAGTCAAGGATTTCCTGTAAAGGAGGGGTTTTATCAGGACCTTATTCTAGACCGGCTTTTTAAAAAATGTTCCCTTTGAACATTTTGCCTCAAAAAACATCAGAAGCACATGGTATCAGGTCTTTCTCTATATAGGAAGAAACAATGAACTGTCTAAAGGCCTCTTTCCCTCTATCTCTGTGCATTGCGTGCAACATTTCTGAAAACTACCCAAATCACTAAGAACAGAGTTAGGTATTGTGCTACTGCTATATCAGATTTCAACAGAACCCAAAGAATGACAGAATGAGATCAGTTCCCATCTGTAACCATCCCTCATCTTTTACCTTAATCAAGTTTTGGAACTTCTTGCTTTGCTGCATCAGCTCTTTATAGTAGCTCACAGCATCACTGTGGCTGCTGCAGTAAATGCCATATTTCTCCTTCATTTTATTTCCTGTTTTTCCTGAAAACTAAATAAGGAAAGCACAGTCAGGAACAACTAACATTTGGGAGAAAAGCAAGCTGCACCCAGCACACTCTGGGGTATCTGAAAAACAGACATCACAGCTCAGCATACAGCATATTATGTATCTCAACTAAAACGGTTAAAAAAAAAGGTGAGAATGGGGTATTGAGAATTGAGTAATTTCTAAGCTAGCGTATGACACAGTCCTGAGAGAGAAAATGCAGATGAACCAAGTAATAAAACAGCCAATTTCTCACAACAGGGAGATCATATTTTAGGAGACACAGAGAGAGTACATCTAACTCAGTATTATCTCTGCTGACAAGAATCAAAGATAGAAAATAGCCCTTTTCCTAGACATGCCACTTGGAATACATCTAACTACAGTTCGCATGCAAAGCTAGTGGCTCTAATATGCACTTAAGTTTTGTAGCTTTTTTCCCGCATAAATATCATGACAGCCCATTGCCTATTTTCCAGGTGGAAGCCTGCTGAAAAAGACAAAATTCCCCCTCTGAACTAGTTAAGTGTTATACATCTTAGGATGACACACAGACACCCCTGCCTATCCAATTCCAATTCCATAAGCAAAAACTACACCTAAACGCTCACCTGTTGCACCAGGATGTCCCCAATGTTCTGGATGATATAGTTGCATTCGCTACCTTCTTCCAAAGACTCCTTCCGACGTTCCTTCAGCTGGAAGAGGAAAGCTCTATGAAGCTCCAGTAAATCGTCCACGCATGGGAAAAGACGGTGGATATCAGAATTGCTGAACTGCAGCTCCTCTCGCATGGCTTGGGAGTAGACTTTCAACATGATCTTCAGAGTCCGGACATGGCGCATCTCTGTCCTCATCAACTCTAAAGGGAGAAGACATCAACATCAAGACTCTCTGACTGGCCAGAGACAAACCCACCTAGAAAGCCAGCCACTCAACACACATTTCTTTACCATCTCGCTGACTTCCCCAAAAAAAGGAGAGCACACCAGGCCCACAATCAGTAGTCTATGTCCAATTTCAAGACAAGCACTACCTTCAGGTCAAAATTTTGCATACATGTGAACGAAAGCAGCAGCAGCAGAGTAAATACTGTCAATGAAGTCTGGTGGAGAAGAGGCAGAAAAGCTCACCATATATGACATCCTGCCTTTTAATAACATCCCGCTCCTGCTGCTTCACATATGACTGCTCTACTGCCAGGCTCCAAGACTGGGCAGCAAACTCCCGAGCGTCTGTCTCCAGTTCATTCCTCAGGGAGGCAAACTGAACATCTGGAATGGGAAGAGTCACAGCTCAGATGAAAATGCAGGTATATATATATTCAGAGAAGCGTTCAAAATACCGTTATTAGGAAAAACAAAAAGAGATCAGAGTTATTATCACCAGAATGGATTTTTTTTATGGTTTTGTATCACAAATTCTGTTTCTATATTGAATAGTGTGTTTTCTAGGTGTCCAAAATGTTATAAACATCACAATCTTTATAATCATATATATACAAACATATGTAAGATAATATCAATCATTATTAGAAAGAATACTATCTTCCGTATTGACATCAGTTCTATAACCATCAAAATATTTACTAGTCAAGTTTTCTTTCCCATGTGGTCCATATTTTCACATAAATCCACTCATCTAACCTCTGTATCTATCTACTAACCATTTGTAGAAAAGTTCCCATGTTATAAAATAAAATAAAACCAGGGTGGAAATCTAAAGGACTGCATAATCATTTTTAATTTGTGAAGGGTCAAACGCTCAAAAAGATTTTATAAAATGTATACTGCGCAATGCAATGCCCAGGACGTATTATGGATAAATGATCATTATAGCCCTCATAGATGTAGATAGTGAGAAGTGAAGAGAAGAGGCAGCAAAAGAACCAAAAGGAACCTTTTGAGCTCAGAGAAAACAGCCACCTTGTTGCTATAAAAACTTACAATTGTAGTAGTCCCCTAACTATTAGAAAATAGTCACACATTGCAAAATGCACCTTTGAATTTATCATTACGCACTGGAGGGAGGGCAGCCACAAGTGCACACAGGAGCTGCATAGAAGGGAAGAGCAAAAGAACTCAAACGCAAAGGCTAAGGATTTGGCATGGTTAACTTGGAGCATCCGACTTCAGCAGTGGTCCACCTGCAAGATTCCAGCAGGGGGAAAAAAAACAAAACAAGGTGGTTCTGCTGTCTTCAAGTTGCTTTTGGGGTGTTTTGCCAAGGCATCTGTGTGGCCACCACATGAAACAAAAACGTTGGGTTGGATAGACATCTAACTATTGGTATGGTTCATTAGCCATGCTCTTCACACTAAGAACTCTTGGACAAGAAGGAAAATGAAGGAATGGCATAGGCAACGGACCCAAGGGTATGACCCTGGAAAACGGGATTTCTAGTTTGGCTCGTCTTGCAGATCTTGCAGTTTCAACTCCCTGCTACGGATGTGGAAAATGAAGGGTTCTAACCTAGAAACAGGGCATTTCAAATACTCCAGAAGTATTCTGGATAAGAGCCATGGTGGTTAGGAGGCAGTACTGCAGACTAACTCACTGCTCATTCCAGGAGTTCAAGCCTCACCAGTTATTAGCAATAGCAGTTACTTATATCCAGCTTCACAGTGCTTTACCACCCTCTCTAAGCGGCTTACAGAGTCAGCCTATTGCCCGCAACGATGTGGGTCCTCATTTTTATCCACCTTGGAAGGATGGAAGGCTGAGTCAACCTTGAGGTGGTGATGATTGAACTGCTGAACTCCTGGCAGTCAGCAGAAGTAGCTTGCAGTACTGCGTGCTAATCACTGCACCACCACGGCTCATTAAATTAAAATTCACTCAGCTTTCCATCCTTCTGAGGTCAGTAAAATGAGGACCCAGATTGTTGGGGGCAATAGGCTGACTCTGTGAACTGCTTAGAGAGGGCTATAAAGCACTGTGAAGTGGTATGTAAGTATAAGTGCTATTGCCATTCTAACTTTGCAACAGGCTTTTTCTGAGATCAGGTGACTTCTGGAAGAACCAGAGCAACCCAATCTGTTGTACAAACCAGTTCTTTGTTCATTCCAGTAGTAAACTGGTCTGAGAGATGAGCCAGACTCATCTCTCAGATGTATTGGATTCTTGGTGACCTTATAGGCAAGTGCTCTCCCTGCTACTCTGTCAAGCATAGCTTCTTTCATTTGTTGTATGTTCAACTTTTCATCCGTTTTGATGCTATCAAGCCAGCATGTTCTTTGCTTGCCCCTTGTTAACGTTCCACCAACCATTCCTAGCATCACTGCATTCTCCAACAAACATAGAATAACAGAGTTGGAAGGGACCTTGGAGGTCATTTAGTCCAATTCCCTGCAGGAGCAGCAGAATCTACACCATTTCAGACAGGTGGCTGCCCAGTCTCTTCTTGAAAGCCTGCAGTGATGGAACACTCACGACTTTTGAAGGCAAGATGTTCCATTGATTGACTGTTCTAACTGCCAGGAAATTCTAGGTTGCTTCTCTCCTTAGTTAGTTTCCATCTATTGCTTCTTGTCTTGCCCTTTGGTGCTCTGTTCTCCCCCCACCCCCAAATCTTTGTGACAGCCCCTCAAATACTGGAATGCTGCTATCATGTGACCCCTAGTCCTTTTCATTAAACAAACATACCCAATTCCAGCAACTGTTTTTATGTTTTAGCCTCCAGTTGCCCAATCTTTGTTGCACTTTTCTGCATTCTTTTCAGAGTCTCAACTCTGTTTTTTATATTATAGTGACCAAAACCGGATGCAGTATTTCAAGTATGGCCATACAAAGGCTTTGTTATTAAGGGCAAGACTGCCAGATGTGACTTCCATCTTCCTTATTGATGTGGATGAATTTACACGCATGATACGGCCAAAGTAAATCAGACGCAGTCTTGTGATTTTAGCTTCAGGGGATGTGACTGATTTTATACGATTTAACATGAGAAGCGGCTTACCTTCCACAAAAACTGATTCCGTGGCTGATGGTGCCAGTGAGACAACATCTTCAGAGGCTGGTTTAAGTTTCATGAAGCCACAATCCCCTTCATCCATCTCTCCCCCAGTGTGTCTGAATAGTCAAAGGAAAACATTGAACCAGATCAGCTCTTGCCCCATGACTGAGTCACTACACAAGCTATTTTCTTATTAGGATGTTTCTTATTCTGATGAATGCTTCCAGTGAACAACTGAAGAAGAGAAGCAGTCCTGAAGTACCCTTGTGCTTAGTTTGGAAAGGCATCTTGAGATTGTCGAGGAAGAATAGGGATACTGCCAATGTAGAGTGCTGCTGCAGCCGCATGAGAAAATAGTGACAGCACTCACAGGTATTAAAGAATGAACTCAAAAAGTCAAAAATCCATGGAAGGGCTATACTTAGGAAGCTGCCAATAAATGTCTGATAATTACAGAAGAACTAGAAAAGGAGCAGCAAAGCCATGGATCATTTTCTAGCGCTGATGGCTAAAAACAGTTTCCTTCCTCATGCAGAAAACTTTATGCAATTGAAGCTCTTCCACATTGATGGTGTTAAAAACCCAAAGCATATTAAGGATTTATAAAACTATCATGCAGAATGTCTATGGGAAAATAAATCCATTCAAAACTCATCTAACAAAGACGAGATGTACATATACTAAGAACTAATTTTATGGCTACTGTTTGCCGATAAATTTAGAATTCCTTCTTGATTCTCTATTCATCAGGATGCTGTTCTGACCTAGTAGCTATGCCTATAAAGCTGATTATTTGATAATCTAACTTCTTCCACTGAATTCCCCCAAAGACTGGGAACCATTGTTATTTCCTGACTTGGTTAGAACAAACCTCTGTATACTCAATCCAAAATAGCATATTCCCTTCAGCAAACTGAACAGACAAAATGCATATTTTGTACACTTGGCCAAAATGTAAAAAAAACAAAAAACCCTGTATATCTGCCCCTGTGGATGCCCACTCAGGCATGAATTTGCACATGTGCTGCAAAGTTACAATATGAAATTGCACTACCGTTAAGCTAATACTCCCCCCCACACTCCATAAACCCAGAGTTTCCATTAAAATCATGGTAAACACATCAAGCCTGAGTTTGTGTTTTGATAGAAAAGAGTCCAGCAGTAAGACCCAAGCTCTGTTTTTTTTTCCAGAAGAAAAATAGAAAGTGGAGCACTGTGAAAGACGTTAAAGATGAGCAGTTATTTCTTCCCAGGCAGGATAAGCCCAGGTTCCAGATAAAAATGCCCAAAAGCAGCCATTTGTATCCAGCAAAGTGCCTACTCACCCGAGCTTACCAACAGCCCCAGCAGAGGTGGTGCTTAGCTGAGACGGCAAACTTCCCCTCTGCCCAATTGTCATGCCGAGGTTCTGGGGCAAGCCAGGGGTTCTGCCATCCGGGCCCAAGAGGGCCCTGCAGGAGTGCTCTTTGAGAGAGGTAGCTATGGAAGGAAAGACAGAGTTGGTACTCAGGAATCGGGGAGTAAACTGTGGGTTGCTTTCTTGCAACCCTCGGCTCTCTGAGCGAGTTTGGAGAGCCGACAAGATCTTGGAGGTCAGTCGCACATTTTCCAGAAAGACTGTTTCATTCCACTTGTTGGAAAATGAGCCACAGAACAGCAGCTCTGAGGGAGCTGGCATGACTGACTTGCTGCTGTCATTGCCCTTGGAGTTAACATTTCCCATGTTTACAAAGTGGCTGCAAAATTGCCTGTGCCTGCTTCACTTTATATATATATCACCGTGTCTAGAGATGTAAAAGCTGTCACTCCACAACACTGTTATTGGTCAATCAGCAAGCAGATCAGAAAGGGAGAAAATCAGTCCCTACTGTGTCCTCAATCGAACATGGAAATTGCAAAGTATCTTTTTTAGCAAACAGAGAGAAAGCGTACCAATCAAAAATTTACAGAAACATAACTGTTCTCACTTTTCAACGGAAGAGAGAAAATGATTGGCATAGAAGCAAGATTTATCTGAGACAGAAAAAGCAGCAGAAACACGCTCAGTTGTTGTTCCTTCTCTCCTACCTGCTTGTTGGTTCAAGTACCACAATATATGACACTCTGCACATGGGGCCCTAAACTAATGAATTAATCAGATCTAATGACCAAGGCATGCATTCTCTAAGCAGATTCATTTTGGAGATTTTTTTTTTTAAATGTAAAGATTATTTATTAGTATTATAATTTGTATGAGCCAATTCTTAGTAGTCATTAATATTCCCACTACTGTACATTCAGAAAGTGTGCTGTAACCCTCGTTTTATCTATATATACGACACAAGACACCAAACTATTTTTAATCTATACATAAGACACTCAGACACCAAACCCTGTAGGACCAAGTAGCCATTTGGCCTTCCACGGAAATACATGCTTTGTGTCAAGATGTTTTTGTTGTGGTGGTTGCAAAACCAAGAAAGAAGCAGAGGGGCTAAAAAATGGGGAGGAGGTCTATTGGCTTCCAGGAATTAGCGGCAGGAAAATATGCACATTTTACTATCCTCCCATCTGCCCTCACTGATACCAACGTGCCTTGAAGACTTACAAGGCACTCACCAAAATATCAACAGAAATATTCCATGGCAAGTTTTAGCTGGAATAATCAAGCTGATGACTTTCCCCTGCCTGCTCTGCAAAACCAGTCGTTCACTTTATACCCTACTTTTGTATCCCCAAAAAATAGACAAGGGAACAAAAACAGAACACAACTAGCAGTCTCAAAGGTGCTTTCTTTCAAAAGGCAACTGGACGTTCTTGTTTTGCTAGAACATGTTTCGCTTCTCATCCAAGAAGCTTCTTCAGTTGTGACCGAATGGTGGAGAATGGAAGGGTTTATATTCCTTGCAGTCATGAAGTCAAGTCATGCAGTGAAGAATATAAATCCTTCCATTCTCCATCACCCAGTCGGAACTGAAGAAGCTTCTTGGATGAGAAGCAAAACGTCTTCTAGCAAAAGAAGAAAGTCCAATTGCCTTTTGAAAGAAAGCGGCTTTAGAATAACCATGTCCTGCACGACTGAGAATCTCCATAGACAACACAACTAGCACTAACAAAGCTCACTAAAATTATGACGCCTAACATGCATCCATCAGTATAATAAAAACTAGACGGGGGGATTGTGTATATATTCATATTTGATGATTTTAATGTTTCTTTATGCTATAACCTGCCCATCTTGTTTCACAGCAAATAATCAAACAAACAAGATGCACGCACACCTGCACACACTGTAGGAAGTTTTATTCCTCCCTCATCTGCCTTCTCTCTTCCAAATTCTTCTCCTTTTCAGTCCCTTGGTCATTTTCCTCTTAAGTGAACTAAACTAGACTAAACTGGTAGTTTCCAAACTACTAGAGAAAAAGATTATAGATGGTGAAAAATTTGAAGGATATATCAGGAAGAATTGCCAGAGAAGATGAAATACAGCTAAAATTCTCCCAGAAAGTATCTCAGAACGCATAAAAATATGGAACTATATAGTTTATTGGAATGATTGCAACTCAAGTCTCAAAAGACATCCGATTGCCTCTTTGCATCTTGCACTAAGCAGCCAGATCCAGGTAATACAGCTTGATATATGGGGCTAGCTAAGGGTTCACACGCAGTTCAGATGCTTTTGCGAGAAGACAAATTCAGTCATTGCCTAATGAAACTTCTATATTGCTCCAAAAAGGGCATTAGGAGTGGCTGAAATCGTCTGCCCATAAGCACTCACTCTTGCAACCTATCCTCCTTCATTCCTATCCTTCCTCAGCTTAAAGTACAGTACCCCCTTTCTGGATCACTGGATTGAATTGGGAGCTCCTTCGCGAACCAAATTTATGTCTCGGAGACATACTTCAATTCTGAATAATTCCCCAAAGGCACGCTGCTTTATTTCAGATCTTCCAAGGAGCAGAGACATTTTTCCCTTTCTCCAGCTTCCAGCCCCCCTCTCCTCTCCTCCCCTCTCCTCTCCCCCTTTGAATGCCCTCGAAATGGACTGAGGAATATGAGAAACTGTGCTCTGCATTCAATTAGCACAACCTGCACACTGCTGAGAACTACTATTGATCACTGCTCCCCTCTTCCCACATAATAGATCACTGTGATATTCAACCAAAAGGCTGAAGCAAATATTCACGCCACGCCACCCCCACCCTTGCTCCTCTTTTTAAACTTCCAAAGCTCAACCAGACGCAGATTGGGGGCTGTAAAAGGGCAGCCACTTTGTTTTTGCCTCAGTGGGAGGGAGAAATGTCTGAAGCATCAAAAATATCCAACCCCAAAATTGTATCTGATCTGTAAAATAAAGAAGCTTCTTCTGACATAACCCTCAATCATCCCTCCTAAATTCTCACAAGAACACTATTTCTTTAAAAAAAGCCCATTTTTAATCTGTACAAGTATGGCAACACCCACCCATCCCATTACAACAAATATACTTGCCAAAAGCTCTCAAGTTGGACACCAATTTTCTTGGGTCAGATTATATATCCTCAAGATCAGGGGTGTCAAACTCAAGGCCCGCTGAGTGCTTGGATCTGTCCCACAGGACCGGCCCTGCCAGTGAAAGCAGCGAAAGCTCCATTTTCACTGGCAGAGGGTTGCAGGAGGCAATCGTAGCTGGAAACGGAGCTTGGGAGCCCATTTTCACTGGCAGAGCACTCGGGCCACCACAGGCTCCCCCAACACAAGTGATGTTGAGCTGGCCATGTCTACCCCAGCCCCCCAAAGGGCGCAGGCGCCCCTCCCAAGTTCTGTTCTTGCTGGCAGAGGTTGTAGGAAGCCATTGCAGCTGGAAATAGAGGTTGGGAGCCCGTTTTCGCTGGCAGAGCGCTCGGGCCACCAAAGACACTCCCGACACAAGTGATGTCAAGCTGGCCACGCCCACCCCAGCCCCGAGGTGAAACACAACCCTGATGCGGCCTTCAATGAAATTGAGTTTGACACCCCTGCTCAAGGTTATATATTATTAGGTCATGCCCTAATGGGTTGACATAGGACAGCAGCTCAGATGAATTAGTGTGTACCCTAAACTTAAAATATAAAGTATTATTAATGCAAAATGAAAGGCACCTCCATGCTAATATTATGCAGGGAAGGAAGACCACAGGAGATTCTAGATAGAAAATCAGGAAAAAGAAATATCAAAATCATCAGAGAGTTGGAAAGGAAGACATTATTATTATTACATCATTATTTAATAGTTAGAAAATACATATATACATATATACCAGTTTATATATGAAAATATTAATAGTATGTACTATAGCATAATTAGAAGGTATCCAAAGTGCTTTATCTAAAATATTTAAAATATGATATTAATAGAAAAATATTAGCAATGCTCCCAGATTTTGTAGAATATCTAACTGCAATAAACTACAACACTTTGTGACTTCATACAAGAAAGATGCACAAATATATCTACCCCCAGTATGGTCTCCTACTCAATACATGGAGGAAATGTAGCAATCATTGTCTATGAGACAAAGTACTGCCTTGTGGATAGCTGGGTCGAAATCCACATGTATTATATTGGGCCTTAAGGAGAGGAAGGGATTGCTGCTGATATACTAATCACCCCACTTCTCAGGTGAGAATACATATCCTCAATAAATATGTAAATATATATTATAAACAAACGTAATATAAATGAATAATATCAAATTTAATTAATTATATTATCAAACAGTCAAGGAAGAAAAGCATGCATCAGCTAAGCAAAACAGTCAAGAACTGTAGTATTTTAACTGATGCAAGTTAAAAATTGGAACTAATTGAATGTACAGGAAACAAAAAATAAATGTGGAAATAATGTAATAAAAATACAAATAGAATGCTGACATGGTCAATTACTACAAAAAAATTAAGGGAAAAATGGTTAAAGAGTAGTCCATACAAGCTTCTGCAAAAAAAATTGCACAGCTATAAATAATGACATAACCCAGTCACCAAAATGATTCACTGGAACTTCTATAAAAATTACCATTTGCCAGTAACGAAAAATTGGTGGGAACATATAGTTGAAAAAGTAGTCGAAAATGAGCAGGTTAAAATATTGTGGTTCAGTTGGTCCTCAACTTACAACAGTTCATTTAGTGACTGTTCAAAGTTACAACACTGAAAAATGCAACATGATCATTTTTCACAGTTACGATTTTTCCAGCATCCCCATGATCATGCGATCAAAATTCAGACAATTGGCAACTGGTTCATATTTATGACAGTTGCAAGCAAAGTCAATGGGGAAGCCAGATGCACTTAACAACTGGGTTACTAACTTATCAACTGCAGTGATTCACTTAACAACTGTGACAAGAAAAGTCAAATAGTGTGGTAAAACTCACTTAACAAATGAAATTTTGGGCTCAATTATGATTGTACATTGAGGTCTACCTGTATTTCCAATACAAACTGATAATCTTGGTGTACAATGCACCAAATTTAACTGTGGTTGAAAATAAGAAAGTGTGGATAATTGATGTGGTAATACCAGAGGACAGCAAAATAGAAGATAAAGAACTGGAGGATCACAAAATATTAAGATCTGCAAATTGAAGTTGAAAGATTATGGCATAAACTGGTAGTGGTGATCCCAGTGATTATCAACACACTGGGCTCCACATCAAAATCTTGGATGGCACTTAGAAAATCTGAACATTGACAAAATTTTCATCTGTCTATAACTGTGATGGCGAACCTATGGCACGTGTGCCACACTTACCTCACTGGGCATGCGTGCACCTCACAGCTAATTTTTTTCAGTTGGTTTGAGGCTTTTTTCAGCCTCCCAGAGGCTTGGAAAAAGCCTCTACAAGGCTTTTCAGGCCAAATTATAGGCCTGTTTCATCACTTCCTGTAATAACCCTGCATGTGCAGGGGGCATGGGGAGGGGGGGCACACTGCATTCTGAGTGCTGGCATGTGAGTTTGTGCGTGCTGGCGCGTGCACAATTTTTGGCACAGGAGCCCAAAAAAGGTTAGCCACCACTGGTTTATAACAAGAGGCCACACTGCTGTAATCAGCATATATATTATGTTGACAAATTACAACATAGCAATAGCACTTAGACTTATATATCACTTTATAGTGATAGTTTTTTTTTTTTTACAAAAAAAGCAGTTTAGAGTCAGCCTATTGCCCCCAACAATTTGGGTCCTTATTTTACCCACCTCGGAAGGATAGAAGGCTGAGTCAACCTTGAGCCTGGTGGGATTTGATCTGCCAAATTGCAGTAGGAGTAGTTTGCAGTACTGCACTCTAACCACTGCGCCACCGAGGCTCCTTTTTGCTAGGTTCTTGGGAAGAACCTGATGTAAACCCAGGATGTCAAACCGACTTAGGAACTTTAAGACTTGTGGACTTCAACTCATATAATTCCCTAGCCAAGATGAGGAATTCTGGAAGTTGAAGTCCACAACTCTTAGAGTTGCTAAGGTTGGAAACCCCTGGTGTAAATGAAGGCCACTACCAATTAAAGAAATGGCAGCTGTGATTTCATGTTGTTGTATATAATAGTTTATTAAATGTATATAAACCACCTGACTCTCACACATTCTCAAAAGCTCCTCAGAGATGGCACTGCATCCTGACAGCAAAGACTGGTTTCAGCAGGATGCATATATTAAAAAGTAATACAGAAATAAAATCTAAGACCCTAAGTAAATCATATTTCCAATTTGCACCACATCTTCAGGAGATGCTTCTTTGCTTTTCTCGTAGCTTCTTTTGCCAGTTTAATTTTGGAGAATATTTAAGATAGTGGCCCAAATACTGTATATAATAAGCTCTGTCCACAGGCACAATTTAATAAAAGCAGACGATCCAGATATATTCTTCAATTTCACAGTTACAGAATAACCAATCAATGAAAAACCAGCAGCTTATTGATTTTCTCACTGCTCTGCGGTTGTTGCTCCCTTCCTACCCTGCTTTTTGTTTTAAAAAAAGTTTCACAGCACAATAAAAAACACCAAGGTGCACAAGGACAGCAGATTGGAACATTCTAGACTTTTTGCCAAGCAGGACAGAGTAGCTGCTCCACTCTTTTGGGCAACATTCTACAAACTGTATCCCGCAATGCTTAAACTCTATGGGTTTTAATAATGTGTTTTTCAAAGACACAATACTAAGCCTTCCATATTCAAAACCAGAACAAGAAAAAAATATTTTATACAAACCTGGGTTGGCACTCTGGAGTAAACTAGGGGGGGAGCCTGAGGGCCGGAGTTGCGAATCCCTTTGCTATAAGAAAAAGAGACGAGACACAAAGAATCACATATACTTCAGCTCCAGGCCAAAACTGTTTAGTTTCCACAGAGCAACAACTCTGAAGCAAGCCCCAATTCCCTGAATTCAAAGCTTTCAGTTCCCTCGTCTGAACTTAAAACACTCTGATTTAGCAGGACAGCCATATTAATAAAAACCTAACTGTACTCTTAATACTCTTAAACAAAGAACAGTGAAGACTGAATGAGAGTTTCAAATATCCACAGGAACTTTGAGGTTTATATCTTAGATTCTCAATTACCCAATGGAAACTTATTACTGTAAAGAATAAGGAAGGTGACCTTATTGGAAATATGCAAGAATCGTTACCTGGGGGAAAGGGACAGAAACATTTTAAAGCCCAGAGCAACATTTGGAAAAGGCTTGTGTGATTTACTGATGCGAGTGGACTTTTAATGATTACTTTGCTCAGCCCTATTCAATGTTACAACAGCACTGAAAAGGTAGCTTTACAACCAGTCTTTGCACTTATGACTATTGCAACATGCTCCATAGTCATGCAAGGGAAATATGAACACTCCACAGCTAGCTTCCAACAAGCAGAGTTAATGGAGAAGCTAGCAGTAAAATTGTAAATCATGGTTACGTGGTATCTCACTTCTTGACCACAGGTGATTGGCTTAATAACCATGGTGGAAGTGAGGTTGTAAGTCCAGCCCACTGTGGTCATATGATGTTCTGCTTAATGACCGAATTGCTTAGCTATGGAGTTGCCAGTCCCAATTATGGTGGTTAAAGGACTACCTGTATAAAAATAAAGGAGGCAGCCCCCAGATTAAGAACAAATTCCATTCCTAAATATGCCTTTATCTTTGAATTTGTATGTAACTAAGAACATGTACTTACAAACAGATTGACTATTACAAATAGTCCTTGACTTATGGCTGTAACTGAGCCCAATATTTTTGTTGCTAAGTGAGACATCTGTTAAGTGAGTTTTGCTCCATTTTGCAACCTTTCTTGTCACTGCGGTTATTGAGTTAGTAACAAGGTTATTAAGCGAATCTGGCTTCCCCATTGACTTTGCTTGTTAGAAGGTCGCAAAAAGTTATCATATGAACCTGGAATATTGTAACCATCATAAATATGTGCCTGCCTGTTGGGGAACTTCCAGTTTGCAGGGCTTCGGCGGCAGGCAGGAATCCACGATCGTGCGCTGTTTCTGCCTGGGCTCGCCGCTGGAGTGCCCCGAGCCAGCTGGCTTCGGGGCTAAGCCACCCTGTAGAGATGGTGAAGACGGGGGAGATCGCCAGCAGGGTCGAGGAGAGCCGCATCTCTCCTCCTCAGCTGGCCAAACTCCCTTTCCCGAAGGCGGTAAGAGCGGTGGTCAGAAATGGCCACCTCAAAGAAGCACTCAACCGGAAAAGAAAGTGCAGGAGGAAGTTAAGAAGTGAAAGTTTTGGCTGACCGGGATAAAAAGCAAGAACTAAGGTACCCTGGAATTTAAATTTTATAAAAGATAACATCGCTCCCAAAGAAGAGTCGGAAGCAGCGAATGAAAGTGAAAAGGGAAAGTTTTTTTCTTCTTCACTCTCCTTCCTCATGTTGACAACAAAGAGAGCTGAATAAGAAATCGGAAAAATCCGCTTTGGCACCAATAGGTAATTAAACTGGAAATATAATTAAATTCCAAAGGGACAATAAAGATTTCTGAACACTAAAAAATCCTCTTTTTTTGCTATAAGTGGGAAGGGAGAGGAAAAGAATAAGGGCAGGATTTGAAAGGAGGAGTCTGCCTGGAATTCAAAAGAATCTAAAGTTAAATCTTAATAAGACTTCTAAAAGATACATTTTAACTGGAACTTTGCAACTAAATAGTAACCCCAGGAAGAGAAAGTGAAAAAAGAAGAAAGTGTTAAAAGAAATAGCTTGTGTGTATTTGGACTGCTTGGTGACTTTGGGATTTCTGAAAATTATATTTGAATGACTAAAAACAATTGGGTGGTTGTTTAAAAAAATTCTGCAATGGCATCACTTCTGGATGAACTGAAAATGGAATTTTAAAAATATAAAGAAGAGGCACAAGAAGGGAAGGGCTCCTTTGGCTCCGTTTTTCAATTCTTAGAAATGGCGATTTGTGTCTACAAGAAACAACAAGAAAAGACTGCGCAACAAGAAGATTGGGACAAAGAAGAAGCCATCTTTAATGAACAAGTAACTCTATCTGGGGAAGAAAGGGGAAAGGGGGGAAAGAGAATGGAGAATTTAAGACTTAAAAAAAACAACCAAAAAAGGGAAAAATAATGTGAAAGGTGGATATAATGTTGGAAAGCAACAGAAAAGGGGAATACAGAAGAAGGAAATGGAGGTGGAGAGACAGGGGGGTAAAAAGGGGAGAGAGAAGAAGAAAGGAAAGAAGGAAGGGAAGAGAAGTTACAAAGTTTTGGAGCAAGATGTAAAGAAACAGGACTTATTCAGAGATAATGGGTGAAAATTTAACTGAAAAAGGGATTCTGTACATAAGATTGTATTTATATTTGTAATAGAAATAATGTTAGAAAATTGGAAACAACATATGATTAAAAAGTGGGATAAAATAGTTAGTGTAATTCAGTGCAACTTTTGTGAACAAAATAAAGGAAATGAAATAAATGAGAGAATTGAATTAGGAAGGAATGGGAACATTTTAACTACTCAATGTTTTATAAAATATAAGTGAAGTGGGGGGGGGAGTAACTATGGAAAGTTTATAAGTGTTCCCATAGAAGTATGATACTTATTTGAAAAGTAATGTGTAAAATGTTTCAGATTTAAATGAATATTAATATTAATGATAGAATTGAATTGGTATGGATTGTTTTAATTATATTATTTTTTTTTCTTTTTTAAAAATACAGTGTGTAGTTTTAGAATGTACCAAGCAGAATCCAAACGGAAGTTATGTATTATATTAAGTGTTATAATTTTTAAGGGGAAAGATATAAAGGCGTCATACTCCAATCAGTGATTACAGGAGAAATTTTGTTTAATGAGAAAAGATAATAGACAGTTGAAACAGGACAAAGAATATAAGTACAATGATTTGAATTGAGATGAAATAAAATAAAATCAAGAAAGTTAAAAGAGGGGAGAAGCTATATAGAAAAGGTAGAATGGTAATAAGATATGGAATGGAATATAAAAATGAGCATGAACTTAAATTTGCGTCTGTACAAAGAAATGTAACGTGGGATCATGCTGCAAGATGTTTTATGTTTTTATGTTTTGTTTGTTTGTGTTTGTTTTTAAAAATTAATAAAATTTTCAAAAAAATAAAAATAAAAAAACGTGCCTGTTGCCAAGTGTCTGAATTTTGATCAAGTGACTGTGGGAAAGGCTGCAACAGTCGTAAGTGTGAAAAATGGCCATAAGTCACTTTTTTCAGTGCCATTGTAACTTCAAACAATAATTAATGGTTGTAAGCCAAGGGCTACCTATACTACAAAAGGCAGATGACATCCGCCTTCCTCGAGCCAACGAAATGTTGAAGCTGCATAATGTTTTTGTGAAACACGAAAATAGGCCATATATTCCAATCGTAGGGCTCCAGTGTGAAATCATGGCATGACTTCAGCAGTTCACTGGCTCAAGGAAAGAGAAGGCCTTCTGCCATGTTTAGTAATAGGCAGCCCATTCGTAAGTACCCACTGTCTGTAAATCAGACCAACTTAATCTGGGGATGATCAATCTTGCAAAATTCTGTTATTACAGCCAATCTCAATAAATTGGGTTTTTTGGGAAGGGACTGGGGGCGGTTGATTTCCTAATCTGGTCTACCTAGAAGGGTTGACAATTATAAAAGGAATACTGGTCTTTAAGTAAGTGTTTGGTGTGTCTTTGATATATATTTTTTAATCTGCAAATAAAGCACTACTTTTCTGGGAATTGTGTTCTTCACAGATCCATTTAAACTCTGTTAAATCCCTCTAAATACCTGCACATTGTGAGATCTTCTACTAAGTTCCAATAATTCAACAATTATGTACAATTATGAAATTGTCATATTAATCTAATGCCATAAACTTTATCTAGCAGGATCAATGTTCAGGGAAAGAATTATCTGGAAGGACATAAGTTTCTCTATCCTGCTTCAAGGTTTAAAACGCTCTTTAACAAAACAACTAACCCTCTCACCCTCCCCAGTTTTAACTAAATGGAAAATAAATATTCCCCAGTACAGGTGGTCTTCGTCTTATGACCACAATTGAGCACAAAATTTTTGCTGCTAAGAAAGGCAGGTGTTGAGTTTCACCCCATTTTATGACTTTTTGCCGCAAGCATCACTGCAATTAAGTGAATCATATAGTCATTAAATTTGGTTTCCTCCAATGATTTTGCTTGTCAGAAGCCAGTGAGGAAGGTCATCACATGACTCCAGGACAGTGCAACTGTCATAAATACATACCAGTTGCTAGGTGACAGAACTTTAATCATGTGACCAAGGGGATGCTACAATGCTCATAAGTGTGTAAAAAATGGTCATAAGTCACTTTTTTTACTACCGTTGTAATTTTGAACAGTCACTAAGTGAATGGTTATAAGTCAAGGACTACTGGTACAGTCAAGTTTTAAAAGATTTAATCAAATATTCTTGTTTTGTTTTGTGCATCAATTGGTCGATCAATAATATTCTCCATTTTTTTTCCTTCAGGGACACTAGCAGTATATCTTTGAGAAATAAAACTAACAATCTGGTAGCAAGTGATAGAAAAGGAACCTCTCTGCCTCAGCAATTTAAAAGATGCTCGTGGTCATCTACCAATACTGAGCAAGATAAACTATTAGCCTGTTTTGATCCTGTTAATCAGAACTTCTTTTTTAGAATGATTCAGGAAGGAGTCATACAATTAACTCATTTTTACAAATTCTGCCTCCACCCTCGGCTATTAATGGAATATAATTATTATTTATCTTTACCTAAAATTAATTGATTGGCTCGTTTCAAGTCATTTACTCCTGTTCACAAACATTCAACAACAACAACATTCGGATAGATAATGCTGTACTCTAACTTTAAAAATAAACAATTATGTCTTTTAACTCAAATTGGAATAATCAGCAGCTTGCCTTCAGAAGTTGTGGGTCCTCCATCACTGGAGGTTTTTAAGAAGAGACTGGAAAACCACTTGTCTAAAATGGTGTAGAGTCTCCTGCTGAGCAGGGGTTGGACTAGAAGACCTCAAAGGTCCCTTCCAATACTGTTATTCTGTTAATAACAGCTGTATCAGAACTTGTTTGTATCAGAATCCAAAAAAAGCAGCCTATACATTATGAAACACTTCAATATAAATTATAGACCTAGGCTGCTTGTCTAATTTTTATCTGTATTGTGAACCACTTTGAGCTATAAGAAATAAAAATGCTACAGAAGTAAATAAATGTGTGTGTATGAGTCAGATGGCACAATTTACCTTGAATCTGCTGTTGCCGCATTCAGGCAGGAGATTCTTGCAGTTTTTGTGAACATTTACTGCACAATCTGAAGAGGAAAGAAAAAGAAAATTGGGATCATTTTTCATATATGTTCACTGATACTCATATGTGATTACCCTAAGGTCAACAGTATCTTTAAAAGATTATAGAATGATAGTCCTACAGGAAAAACACCAATATGGCACATGCAAACCAATAGGATGCTTCCATGGGCTGCACTTACAGATATGCATGTTAAAATGTGTTGCAAATCCTCAGACATCTTTTCCCATAGTCATTTTTTAGGATCAGGTAACCATTCAATCCCAAATGAAGATATAGCTTGCTTTAAAGAGTTACACCTGTCACAGGAACACCCTGTGTGCCCAAATGACCTTTGTTCCTTTGCACAGCCCTATTAAAGAGTACACCATCAAAGTTGACACCAGCCAGAGAGTAGAAAAACTCAAAGTAGTAGTGCAAGATCGGAAGAGGTGGAGAGACCAGGCCCATAGAATTGCCAAGAGTCAGGCACGACTGAATGGATAACATCATCCCCATCATTAAAGAGTAACTAGTCAGGAAAGCTCATCTCCCTCCAACCAATTAGCCCAAACCCTCCTTCAATACATATACACCGCTTAGAGAGGGCTATAAAAGACTTATATAAAGCAGTATATAAGTCTTAAATTCTATTGCTATACTACACTGTAAGGCGGTCAGCAGAATTCTTTTAACACACATTCTTACCTATTGAAGTATTCTTCTAAACACATGAAACTGTTCTAGACTGGATCCAGACCATGGGTCCTTCCAACTCATTCCCACTAATTGTAGTTCGCCGCTAATCTAAGTCAAGCAATTTATTTGGAAATACCAGAGTTTAAAACTAGGATCTCCTCCATGTAAAATTGGTGCTTCACCAGTACTCAAAACGTGTCTTTTCAAACTTCTATAAGGGGCTGGAATTATCACAAAATGCTGTTGGTTGTTGTAGCATGATGTCAAGTGAGCTCTCTCCCCTAGTTTTCATGCTGAACAAGGAGCAGCAAGGAGCAGCAGTAGAAGCGGCGGGAGTGGGGTTGGCAAGACTGCAAAAGGCCACCTGAAATAGTTTATGCATTGTCTGAACAATATTACACCCCGATACTAACTGTGCTGTCACTGGCAATTGAATACCCAGTCTGCAGGGCAGATAAATAAAAGGACTTTTCCAGACCACAGATTGACAAATTTTGAAGCAAAGTTCCTAACCTCGATGTTCAAGACCAATCCATATAGAACTAGAATGATCCAGATACACATATATCCTGTTAGGAACCACTGCCTTTAACACAGCTAAAGTTGGTTTTTGCTTCTCTGGATTTGCTCAGTTGCCAAACGCTGGCCGAATACCGCCCTCTCCTGCAATAGACGTCAAGTTCGGAGGCTACAGTTTCCAAGACAAATTGAACCAGATTACATAATTCACACAAGATACAGCCCCGTAAACGGCAGCCCTTTCACACTCCAGAAACCGCACACCATGTCCTTGCAACAAACAGGCTGAACTGGCTAAGAAGTGAACAACTTAAGACTCAGCTTTGTTAGCAGAATTGTTTGGGCCGCAGCACCAGGAAGCAAAGATTTCTGCTAAACTCAAGAGCCTCCCCTACTCCGGAGCTATTTGAATAGAGGGAAAATGTACAGCACCTGTTTTTTTTTTTTTTAAAAAAAAAACCTTATCTGGCTGAGATCATCATTTTTGTGCAAGCATAAGAGAAAATTAAAAGCTGCTTCTGAGTGATTTCTGCTTGGAGGAAAATTTTCCTTGCCCCCAAGACGTTAAGCAACTAGACATTTACACACCTGGAAGCAATGTAAGCAAAAGCACCTGGTTACAGCCATGGAAAAAGTCTTCATTCCTCCCCACCATGAACTATCAATATGTAAAGCTGCTGTTCCACCCCTTAGTTCAATAATGACAGCACTTATTAGGTGACACTGCACCGCCTGCTGAAGGAAATACCAGAATTTGCCCGGAATGGACTCTGTGGACACCACCTTTCTTACACTTCCTTTAAATCCTTTCACAAAAATAGTCATTTTATGTTGCCTTCTCTTTGGGCTGAAATCCAACTTTATCACATATCACTTAAACAGGTAGTCCTCGACTTACCACAGTTTGTTTAGTGACTGTTCAGAATTGCAACATCCCTGAAAAAAGTGACTTGTGACCATTTGTCACAGTTACGATAAGATAGATTGTAAAATGGGACAAAATTGACTTAACAAATCTCTCACTTGACAACAGAAAAGTTGGGCTCAATTGTGGCCATATATTGGGGACTGCCTGTATTCTTCCTCGTCCTCTGCCCCTCATCGAAACCCTTTGAGATCCGTATCTGACCGTTCACTTCTACTGTGCTACAGCGCTGAGCACACAGGTGAGATCCTGTAAAGAGCTGAAGCGGCAACAGAAAGACCGAATGGCAGCTGAAGCACAACCTCTCAAGGCCTGCCAGGCAACCTAAGTCTTCAAATGTCTCCCAGAGTAGAGGTCCGTCAACTTCTCTTCCCAATAACTTCTCCTTCAGCTTCTGACCCAGACAGCCATGAAAATGACTTGAAAGAAGTACAGAACGAGACACCAGGAACAAAAATAACTAGAGTGACCTCCCCTGAAAGGTATTTGAAGTATCTAGGAAGTGGAAATGCTGAAAAGCAGAAACCAACCGGTCTTGTCTCAAAGCTCTGTTCTGCCTGCCTCCTGAATTGTTTCAAAGGGAAATTTGCACGGCAGCCACGGGGATTCTGAAACCAAAGTCCCAACATTTGTGATAATTTTCCAGCTCCTGCAGCGCTGAAGGCGGGGACTTTATCATACATGTCAAAACAGCTTGACCAAAAAAAAAACCCCAAAGACAAACTCACACCTGAAATTTGTCCCTTGGGTTTATTCCAGTCCACAAGAAAAGCCTCTGAAAGCCTATTGCTAGGGTTTATAATTTCAGATGTGGTGTATTGAAATGAATGCAGGTAATCCTTGATTTATAACCATTCATTTAGCGACTGTTCAAAGCTACAACGGCACTGAAAAAAGTGACTTGTGACCGTTTTTCACATTTACAACCATTGCAGCATCTGCATGGTCACGTGTTCAAAATTCGATCACTTGGCAACTGTTTCATATTTACGACAACTGCAGTGTGTGTATGGAGGGGGTGTCAGGTGATCATTTTGCAATCTTCTGACAAGCAAAATTAATGGGGAAGTCAGAATCACCTAACAATTGTGTTACTAACTTAACAGCTCCAGTGATTCATTTAACAACTGTTTTTAAAAAACAGGTTATTGGGACCAAAATATATTTAAGGATCTCTCTCTTTGTCAGCAGAAGCTAGAAAAAAACCAAATTAAGATCTCTAAAGGGACACATATTTATATCTCATAAAGAGTACCCCCATAACTATGCAGCATTTTAAAAACACTTATCATACTACATCCACCCAACCTTCCTTAATCAAGGATTAAGGAAATAAGCATGTACACATTCACTTTGTTTAGCATTATGTTTGTTTAGCCTTATGTTCAAAGGATAATTGTTCTTTTAATATAACAGAATTATAATTGAGAATTTGTTTTGGGCTCATGAAGAAACAAAATCAGATGTAACACTTTTTTTTTTGAGGGGCTGCCACAGAGAGGAAGGGGTCAATCTATTTTCTAAAGCGCCTGTAGGCCAGACAAGAAACAATAGATGGAAACTGAACAAGGAGGAAATAAGGAGAAACTTTCTGTAAGTGAGAACAATCAACTAAGCTTGCCCTCGGAAGTTGTGGGAGCATCATCACTTGAGACTTTCAAGAGGAGATTGGACTGCCATTTGTCAGAAATGGTGTAGGATCTCCCGCTTGGGCGGGGCGGGGGGGTGGACTACAAGGTCCCTTCCAACTCTGATTATCTGTTAATTTTTTTAAAGGACGAAAATTCTTGGTTTCTTTAGCTGGTCCTGCTAACAGCAAGTCAAAGCTGTCTTTGAAAAATTTTATGATTTATCAGAAAATAAAATACAAAGGAAAATAAAAAATTGGGAAAACTGAGGGAGAAAAAAAGGAAAGAAGAAAAAATGTGGAGTAGAGGGGGAAAAAACAAGAAAAAAGCATTGACTTCTGACTCTTTAGAACAGTAGAAGATAATAACATTACCTTCAAATTTTACTTTTATACAGTGATATATATACTAGCCATTTCTACAACAACAAACATCTCATCAGCAAAACCAAAATCAAAGTTTCATATCTTTTTCATCCCAAGCACAAAATCCAGAAGCAATTTCCAAAGCAACAAGCCACAGAACTGAACCTGCAGCAAACCCTAGCCTACTTCCTCAAACTTTAACAACTGCTTATCTTACCTTTATGTATGAGCTGGACCCATACACTAACACAAAATCACTCTGTTAGAAACGTAACAGCATTGCAACATATCACAACCTCTTTTAAATGAAGGTTAAAAACAATATATTCAACTTTTGGTGGTGTTAAAAAAAAAGGAGGAGGGGGACTTATAACCAATTATTGCAGCATCCCAACAGTCACACAATCAAAATTTGGATGCTGGCAAACCACCATGTTCTTACTATGATTGCAGTGTCCAAGGTCATGTAATCACCACTTGCAATCTTTCCAGTTAGCTTCTGACAAGCAAAGTCAAGGGTGGAAGCCAGAATCACTTAATAACTTTGTGATTCCACTTAACAACCATGGCAAAAGAGATCATAAAATCTGGGGGTGGGGGGGGGGGGAGAGAGAGAAAAGGTTTCCCATTCACTTAATCACAGCCTTGCTTAGCAATGGAAATTCTGGTCTAAATTGTAGCCATAAGTTAAGGACTCCCTGTAGTACATTTTTTTCTTTTTCTTTTTAATCCTTGTAACCTGCCCAGCATTATTGACAAATGGGCAGCTCTAGAAATTTAGATGGTAAATAAATGATAAATAGAACCAGATCTCAAAGTTCAACCTGGCTATTAGGTGCAGTCTCTTTTTTTCAGCCACCTTACACTCACCTCCTCTCTAAACACAAAT